GCTAGCTTGCCTGCTGGTCACTGGGGCTTCCTGCAGCTGCTGGTTGTAGCCTTGGACCATCTAAAACAGAGGGTGGCAAACTACAGCCCACAGGCCACATCCAGCTAGCGGTCCGTTTTGGTATAGCCAGTGAATGTGGAATGTTCCTACATTTTTAAAGGGTTGTAAAATCAAAGAAGAATATGCAACAGAGACTGTATGTGGCCTGCAAAGTCTAGAAATATTTACTACCTGACCCTTTACAAAGAGTGCACCCCTCTGCTGATGTAAAAGTCCCCCTGGAGCATCTCCCTAGGAGGTGGCGTGGGGAGTAATTACATGTGGCCCTGGGAAGCCACTCCCCTCGGCCTCCCTTAGAGGGGCCACGATGCTGGAAGTGGTGCTCCGAGCTGGCTGAGGGGCTCCGTGGGGAGACAGACCAGGCTGACAGTCTGAGGGCGGAGGCTGGTCCGCAGGCCCAGCTCAGGGTTGGGCTTGGCCTGGCTCACAGAGACCTCAGTAACATGGACTCTCTCAACCCACAACCTTGGAGGTCTCACAGAGACCCTCTGTTCAATGCTCACAGTGTACAGATGGGGAAACCAAGGCCTGGAGAGGCAGAGGCACTTGCTCAGGGTAAATGTGTAGGCTCCCAGTCCTAGGCGTTTTCTCCTACTTTCCCCGCCTCATTTAGGAAGTCCCCTCGTCCGCTCAGCCCAGTACCACAGGCCATTTTCTCTGCTCATTCGTTACTTTGGTCAACATTCATCATTCATGAAGGGCTGATAACTCTGCTCACTAGCACTGGGGCACAGAGGTAGTAAGGCACCGCCCTGCTCCCAGGCAAGAGAGGAGACGAGCCCACCCAGAAAAGTGTGGTCAGTGGTCACAGGTGCTCCGGGTTTCTCATCCGATGGTAATACTTTGGGGAGGGGGCGTGCTTCTAGCAGAGGGATCAGATCCGGGCTTGGCTGTCAGAGAGGAGGCCGCATGCTAAGAACTGCTGGTCTGCCGTGGGCTTGGTTGTGAGGACGGACTCAGGAATAAGCAAGGCTGGCAACACTTCGGGGCCAGTCGGAGGACGGAGTGCAACAGATCTTTTAAGTAGGGCAATGGCCAGCTGTGTTTGTGTTTTAGAAAGCCTCCTCCGGCTGCTGCCTGAAGGAGGGGTGGAAAGAGGACCAGGAGTTGATTTGAGTTCATTGAGGACCGAGCTCCTTCGTTCATCAGAGAAGGGGCTGGCTGCCCTCCCTTTGAGGGAGGGTCTGGCACCACCTGCCCACATGGCCACATGGTAATCTGTCTCCCTGAGGCCTCCACCTCCTGCCCTGGCTCCCCCAAAGGGAAGTCGGTGAGGTTCCTGGTGAGCTTTCAGTTAGGGATGCTTCCTGGTCCTTAAAGCAATTGTGGATGGGCTTTTCTTGAGCTGCTCGTTTGCTTTTTTTTTTTTTTTTTGTGAGGAAGATCAGCCCTGAGCTAACATCCATGCTAATCCTCCTCTTTTTGCTGAGGAAGACCGGCTCTGAGCTAACATCTATTACCAATCCTCCTTTTTTTTTTCCCAAAGCCCCAGTAGATAGTTGTGTGTCATAGCTGCACATCCTTCTAGTTGCTGTATGTGGGACGCAGCCTCAGCATGGCCGGAGAAGCAGTGTGTCGGTGCACGCCCGGGATCCGAACCCGGGCAGCCAGTAGGGAGCGCACGCACTTAACTGCTAAGCCATGGGGCCGGCCCTCATTTGCTTTTTAACTTCAGACTTTTAAACTAGTGTAAGGAAACAGGCTCTCCTTTCCATTGACTGTTAGAAGCTCAGAGCAGGATTCTTACCTGGGCCCGTGGACCAACAGGGAGCTACGGACAGAATTTAGGGGCCCATGAACTTGGATAGGAAACTAAATGCATTCTTATTGCTACTGACCTTCAACCGATAGCAAGTCCTTCGATTATGTACATTCCAAAACAAAGCCACTCTGGTATCAGCAGTGTCTGTGGCTTTGTCACATGTATTTTTACGTTGCATTGCAGCTGTTGTAGATTTCTTGAAACGCCGTTTATGCCCATCACTATTCCAAAATTACAGTCGTTATTAGATCTTGGGATTTAATGTGTTCATATAGAAGTGTGTGCATGAGTGTGTGTGTATCTTATGAATTCGATTTTTAGTATTTTGATAACTGTGTTTTAATAGGATTGGTTTCCTTTGTAATTCTTTGCATTTTATTCTCGGCGTTTAAAGCCTTTATTCTGCGAAGGGGTCCACAGAAAAAGTTGAGTCCATCCCACTCCCCTCAGCCCCCCGACCCCGGCTTGCAGCTCATCCACCTGCAGCCCACACGTGTGTTCAGTGTGCAGCCTCTCTCCTGGGAGCTTCTTGAGGCCAGGGCGGGGCCTGTTTATTTGCTGCTGTGGTGTAGCCTCAGGCCTCGCTGGGAGCCTGTGCTTAATTCCTGTGCGTTCCATTGACTTGGAACGAATGATTTCGCAGAACAGGCCAAGAGGCGCCGGTCTCTTGAACTCTGCCTGCGACCTCGCCCAGCCCACGGTTGGTTAGGCCCTTCAGCCGAGGCTGATTTGTGGGGCTGAGGCCCACCGGAGCCCCACCCCGCCCGTGGTCCATTTGATGTACCTGGGGGTCTCCAAACCCCAGCCTCGCAGGCTCTGGGCGTTTCCAACTGGAAAAGGTCTCCAAGACCTTGCTGCCTTTTGGCAGTGAGAGCTGTTCTTTGTCGCATCATCTGAAACTCTGGGAGACCAGTTTCTGCCTCTCCCGTTCCTTGCTTTGTAAAAATAAAAGCTGAGCTTTTGGAAGCCAATCAAGTCACACACTAGACAAGAGATTAAAGACACAATGAACCAATTTAAATGCCTGCACATTCTAATGTGCCTTTCAAACTGAAGCATTCAAAGATGGGGAGTGGCTGCAGGGAACATATTAAGTTGTTAGAAAAAATCAAAATAGCTCTGAGAGAAAAACAACGCGTTGGGAGACTGAGCCTTGAACTGCAGGCCCAGGTCCCAGAGCAAAGCCCCCTCTGGGTCGCCCACTCCCTTCCCCTTGCTGACGGCGTCCTTCCCCCCCCAGAGCGAGTCTGACAGCCTGTCTTGTACAGTCTGATGGCAGAGCCTGCCCAGTGCAGGGACCTGGAGGGCGCCCAGATTCCCAGTCAAAGCTCGTGGGACAACCAGCTGATGGTTGAGAACAAAGGGCCCACAAACAATACAGCCAATGTTAAGAAATTGTTTGTTTGTTTTATTTTAAAGTAATGATTGCCCTTTCTGGAAAATTCACAAAGTGCTCAAGAGGAAAAATAAGGAAACAGAAAAACTTCCAACTGTGGTTCCACCAGCTACAGACAATGGTCCTTAACCAAGTGGCCTCCAAGGACACCATGCCAGGAAAAGAGAGGCCTGAGGTCACACGGGATGCGGCTTCAGCTGCTGCTTCTGCCCACACCGCTCGCTCCATTCAGTCACGTGGACGCTGTAATGGCAACACCGCCCAACCTTTCTCTAGGAGCGTAGTTTTTCTGTGGTTGTTTTTTTTGCTTTTATTAATTGTAACGTTGTGACTACCAAATATACAATTTTGTCGCGTTTTTTGGTATTATCATTATATCCTAAGGATTCTCCATCACAAATTCATTTTAGCATACTTTTTGTTGGCTGCATGATATTCTGAAATGCAAGTGTACCATGCTTTACTTAACTCATCTATTATTGGCATTTGGGTTGTTTCTAGTTTTCTTTTGTTTTGCATTTTAACTAATGCTGTGGTCGATTTTTGGTGCATTCAACTTTATACCAATTCTGGGCTATTGCAACGAGGTTTGTGGAGAGCTAACTCTGTGCAAGGCATTATGGGAGATTGGAGGCTAAGCCAGACCCAATCCCTTCACATAAGATGCAGATATAAATAACTTTAATCCAAAGTAGGTTACGGTGGCTATAAGCAGACAGCTAGAACTGGAATACAGGAAAGTTTTGCTAGGCTTATGGGATTTTAAGAAAGTTACGTGAGCGAATTGGAGACTTTGCATCCACAGCTAGAAGGTGAGAGTAAGAGAGAAGGCAGCAGTGTGGCCAAGGGGTTGGCTTAGCTGGGAGACCTGGGCCAGCAGGCAGGTGTCACCCAAGGCAGGTATAGCAAGTAGGTGTCATCTCAAGTGCTAAGTCAGTTGCTTGTCAGTGGCTGCTAGGAGGCAGGTGGTATGTAGCTCAGTGGAAACACTAGCCATGTCTGCGTGGACCCTGGTTGGTGGAGAAGTGGCCACAAGACACCTGGCTTGCGTGGCTGGCCCCAGCCCTAGAAGTTAACTTCAGGTGAGGTTCAGGGGCTGGCATCACCTCGGCCAATGCCAAAAAATTGTGTTTCTTAGGTTGAGGCTTTTTTTTGCTGAGGAAGATTAGCTCTGAGCTAACATCTCTGTCCATCTTCCTCTACTTTATATGGGACGCTGCCACAGCATGGCTTGATGAGCAGTGTGTAGGTCCACGCCCAGGATCCAAACCTGTGAACCCTGGGCCGCCGAAGCGGAACGTGCAGACTTAACCACTGTGCCACTGGGCCAGCCCCAGGTTGAGGCTTTTTGATCCATTCAGATCAAAATTTGTTATCTGTCACAGACATCTCCAACTGGCTGTGTTTTAGGAACCTCTTTTGGAGGGGCTTCAACTCAAAGAGACAGAAGAGTTACCCCTGAGTCCCAGGGTAGGGTCAGAGGGGAGCAAAATCTTTGCTAACCCCGCGCCCTGGGCCCGCTCTCCCTGCTCTCCCTTCTCCGAGACGGGAGAGGCCAGACCTGTCTTCCTTCCCTGCCTCTTTCCAGTCCTCTGGCTCTTTGACAAACACGATCGCCTCTGGCTGTGGCGTCCAGGTCGACACAGGTGTGGAGCCCTGTGTCGCCGTGGTGTGGAGCACCAGGAGGGGCGTTGGTGGTCGGTGTGGGTCTGTCCCCAGTGTCAGTCTCCTGCCCCACCGCCTGCCTGGGGCGTCCTCGTCTGCTTGATCTCACGTGGTCCTGCCTTCAGCCCCGCAGGTGCCATGACGCAGCAGCCCCAGGAGGGCTTCGCCCGGAGCGTGGAGGACGCGCGGCAGTGGATGAAGGCTGTGCAGGAGCGGCTGCAGATCAACGACAACACGCAGGGGCCCCGCGCGGCCCTGGAGGCCAGGCTGCGGGAGACGGAGGTATGCAGAGGCCGGCCTCGCGGGCCCTGGGGCCTCGGCCGTGTCCCTCTCTGTCAGGCCTCAGGTTTCCCGACTGTTAAATGGCCGGGGTGGGCTAGACCAGTGTTGCTCAAACTTTGGTGTGTTAGAATCTCCTGGGGATTTTGGCTTAAGTGCAGATTCTGACCCGGGAGGTTGGGGTGGGCCCGAGATGCGGCATTTCTGACCCGCTTCAGGTGACGCTGTCGCTGCCAGTCCCAGGACCATGCTTTCGTATAAGGGTCTAGAGCCCGCCCTCTGGCCCTCCCGTCCTGGCAGGGGGTGCCGTGCAGCCAGGTGGTCCCCACCCCAGCTGGCCCAGCCTGGCTTCCTGCCCCGTCCCTGCTTCCCTGTGGCTGAGGTCCCTGCGGGGTCTGGTGGGCCCAGGTCGGCCTTCAGGGGGTGGGGAGGGACTCTGTCCAGTGAGGAGTGACCCCCTCTCCTTCTCCAGGGCCGGGGTCTGGCTCTACCCCCACCTGGCACAAGGCAGGGCTCAGTGTACGTGGCGCTACACTGACCGGATGTGCTGGTGCCCAGTGCCCGGCCTGGCATCGAGGTGCCCCCGTCTGAGGGTGTCTGCACCAGGCCAGGGGGCAGGGGGAAGAGCACTGGACTGAGAGTCAGAGACCTGGGTTATAGTCTCCATGCTGATGCTAGAGTGCTGTGTGACCTCAGCCAAGTCCCTGTCCCTCTCTGGGCCTCAGTTTTCCATCTGTAAGCAAAGCGGTTGACTTACATGTCTCTTGGATCACATCCATTGAGAGATTCCACAGTTCTAATTTATCCCCTAACAGTGGTTGCTTTTCAGGGGAGGCTTACCTTCCCTTGCACAAGCTGGTCCCCCAACTGGGCCAGGAGTGGTACTGACCCCACACCTGGTTCCCTGTGTGTTTTCTGTTTTTGTGCTGTCTTATTGATTTTGTGCATTGTATTGAACATATCTAATGCTCTCTTTGGAAATGGACAGTCAAAATTAAGAATTTACACTACCTTTTCAGGGCCAAGGGTTTTATCTTCACCACAATATTATGAGGGAGGAGCCATTGTCTGCCTCTTACAAATGGGGAAACTGAGTCTTGGAGAGGTCACGTGACTTGTGCCAGTTGAACGGGTCTCTGGGTAGGACATCCCGCCCTGGAATTCGGGTCTTCTGCCTCCTAGTCAGATGAGCTTTCTGCTTCCCTACAGAGTCATGTGCTTCTCGGGAGATGGGTATTCACTGCAAAATTGTGCCCGGCAGGGTCAGGGACCGGGTGTTCTGGTTCCTCAGACATTCTGTGTAACAGAACCGCTCACTGGACTAGAGAAACGACAGGCTTTGGAGTCTGGACGTCCTGAGTTCAAATCCCAGCTCTGCTTCTTGCTGGCCCTGTGACTCCCTGCCCATCACTTGACCCTGCTGGGCCTCAGTTTACTTCCCTTCTGGAATGGGGCGGTGCTAATTCTCTCAGAATGCTGCCTTGAGGACGGTGGGGGACACAGAAAGTGCTCGGTAAGGGGTGGCGCTGTTGCTGAATGAACGTTAGCATAGGAGAAAGCCCTGTGCAACCTGCAAAGCTCGATGCAGATGCTGTGAGTTGGCAGTGACAATGGCACCCTCTCCAGCCCCCTTCCCCTCTCCCCAGTTCCCTGCCAGAGCTTTCTGGTGTTTCCTGCCATCCCGTTTGCCCTCAGAATAGTCCTTCTCAGTCCTTCCTTGGTCCGACGCTGAGGAACCTGAGACCCTCCACTTTGGTCACAATTCCCACCAGCCACCCCCTGGCCAGGCCTCGAACCAGGGCCTCAGGACCCCAGGTGAGCATGCCTGGTCCCTGCCCTCAGGTTGCTCCCAACACTGCCCCTCGCCACACACCTTAATTAATACGGCCCTGTTCCTCTGAGGTGGGGGCGGGGAGGCCTCTCTCCCAGTGGGAAAGGTCGCCCGTCCCCGCTCGGCCTGCCCCAGTGTGGCACCATCTGAGCCCTCACCATCCTGGGCCACGTGTCCTTGTATGACAACCACGACCAAATGCTTGATGCCGCTGGTTAGAGCCCTGCCCAAGTGACCGTCATGGCAGAAAGGAGCGGGTGACCGCTCTTGAGTGATCCGGTCAGAGGCTTCCCAATTGGATGATGAAGTAAGTGGAGAACCTGGGGCACTAGGGGAGCCCCGAGGAGCTCACATCCCCCTGCCCGGGGGGTCAAGAGAGGCCTCTGGGGACAAGTGACTTTACTGCTGAGGCTTAAATGAGGAGGCGTTAGCCAGGTTGGGGACGCAGGGGTGAGGGAGGGGAGGAGGGGGCTCCAGGCAGAGGGAAGGGCGCAGGAAGGGCACTGGAGGTGGGCACGGCTCAGGGCACATGCAGGAGCCCCAACAGGGTTGGTGTTGGATCAGCATCGACCGTCAGACAGAAGCAGGGGACAGGGCCAGAGAGGCAGGTAGGGGTCAAAGGGTGACAGCCTCGAACACCGAGCCAAGGAGGATTCCGAGCCAAGGTGGATTGGAAATTTGGAAGGTCAGGGATTGTAAGGGACGGGGCAAGCCTGGAGGCGGGAGAGGAGGTGGCAGCCCAAAGCCCCCTCCCTTGTCAGACTGGGCCTTTGTCATCATCATCATTGTCAGTGTCACCAATAGGCATTTATGAAGTGATTACTCCAGGGCTGGCCCCGTGGCTTGGCGGTTAAGTGCGTGCGCTCCGCTGCTGGTGGCCCGGGTTCGGATCCCAGGCGCGCACCACCGCACCGCTTCTCCGGCCATGCTGAGGCGGCGTCCCACGTACAGCAACCAGAAGGATGTGCAGCTATGACATACAACTATCTACTGGGGCTTTGGGGGAAAAAAAATAAATAAAAAAATTATAAAGCCAACCCATTCATTTAAAAAAAAAAAAGTGAGTACTCTGCCCGGTCACTGGGAGAGGGGAGCTGACATTCATTCACAGCCTGTTATGCGCTCGAGGCTGCCCTATCGGCTTTCATGTCTAATTTCACAAAAGCCCCGTGAATGTGGTTTTATTGTCCCCACTTTTCAATAATGACATGGATTCCTAGACACAATGACGGGCCAAAATTCAGGGAATTGATCTGGTCAAGGCTTGAAGGCAGGGCTGAGTCCAGTACCTCACTGGCCATCCCCGAGGAGGGGCCTGGGCAGCAGAGGTGGGTGAGGCGCACCCTGTTCTCGGGTTCACAGCATAATGGGGAATAGGGATGCACATAATCCAGGCAGCCACACAAGTCTGTGTGAGGAGCGTCCCTAATATGGATCTCATGATGCTATTCTCCTCTAAAACTTTCCATGGCTCCCCATTGCCCTTCAAAGAAAAACCAAACTTCCCCTGGCATCAAAAGTCCTCCACTGTCTACACCACCCTGTTTTCCAGCCTCGGCTCCCCCCACCATCCCACCTCCCAAGCACACGTCGTCTCCTGTTGGCAGAAAACCTCCCAGATTTCCTATCACTAAGCCTTTGTTCACGCTGTTGCCTCTGCTTGGAACGCCCTTTTGTTTGGTTCTGGGCGTGCGTGTGAAATGAAATGCTCCCTTGTCCATGAGTCTTTCCTGACCCCCCCCACCCCCCGAGCCCCAGCTCCTGATGTTCCCTGTCTGGGAACACCGCAGCTCTAGTGTGTACTCGCTGTCATGGGGCGCTAATCCCTTTAGACTTTGCACTCTTAGCCAGCAGGTCATTACCCCTGGTGGTGGGTCAGGCTTAAGCGAAGGCAACGGTGGTCCTTAGGAAGAGCCGTAGGCAAGGCCAGGGCGAGTGGGCCCTGGAAGCCAGAGGGAGCGCTGCCGTCAGATGAGCCCCCAGGGACTTGACCTGGAGCCCAGGCAGCCGGAATCACATTCTGGAAGCTCCACCACCGTGCTCTCCCATGGGGCTCAGGCTCGCTCATTTTCTGTGTGCCTTGACATTCCAAACCCAATTTCACAACAAGAAAGAAAACCTTTCACTCCTGCCGTCTGGTGAAAGGGAGGAGCTAGTGCCTTCTCCATCTCCCCGGCCCGTGGGACCTCCCCCTGGGGTCTGGGTCTCTCTTGTGATCCCTCCATCAGCTCAGTGACGCATGTCCCGCGTGCCTGTTTGCTAGAGGGACGGGGATGTGACTTCTGATCCGGCTCTTACACTTAATAGCTGTGTGTCCGGGGGCGAGTCCCCTGTCCCCAGCAACCTCATTTTCCCAGCTGTAAAGTGCAGGAGGAACCCCTCACTCCTTATGTGCCTGGGGCCTCGAGGGCCCTCATGGAGGTGGATGCCTTCTGTGAGGGGAGACTGGAGAGAGTGCTGCTCCCGGGAAGCAGGACGCACAGAGGTTGAGAGCTGGGGGTCTGGGGCCGGCGGACCTGGGTTCAAATCCCCGCTATGGCCATGGCACCTTGGGAGTGTTTCCAGAGCTCCCTGAGCTTTGGCTTGCTCTGGGGAAAGTGACAGTTGCCCCTTGCAGGAGGGAGGGAGGATTGAGGCGAATAACTTGCTGGCATGCTTGGCGAAGTGCAGGGCGCACTGCAGAGCCGGCCTGATGGAGACGATCATTCCCTGTGGTTTCCATGCAGGGATCCACGCATGCCCACTATCCCGGCCCTGCCCCAGCCTCCTGGAGCTGGCCTCCTGGGTCCCAGCGTCTTGTCTCTTCGCCCTCTGGTTCCAGCCTCCTCTGGCCTGCACTTGGGGCCTGGCCTCAGGCAGGCTGCTTCCTAACTGGCTTCAGGCCCCTGTGTGGTCAGGGACGTGCTGTGTTTCCTAGGACTTCCAAAAGCCAAATGCACCATCCCTCAACACTATCTACGGTTGCTCAAGCCCCCATTGCAAATGTCTGCAACTCAGATGTCACTAAGGCTGGGTGCCGGCACCACCTACTCACAAAGCCTCTTGGATTTCCCCACATCCCGCCTTGGAGCTCCAATAGTCCTTCGTGGTCTCATGTTGCTCTCTTATGGTCATCTGTGCTTTTGTCTGCCCACCACACCACAGCCTGCAAGCATCCGGCCATGTTTGTTCATCCTGGACTCCAGTGCCCAGCATGGTACCTAGCTTAGTACTCAGCACAGTACTCAGCATAGTGCCCAGCACAGTACCCAGCACAATACCCAGCATAGTACCCAGCATAGTGCCCAGCGCAGTACCCAGCATAGTGCCCAGCACAGTGCCCAATATAGTACTCAGCACAGTGCCCAGCATAGTACCCAACACAGTACCCAGCACAGTACCTAGCATAGTACCCAGCACAGTACCTAACACAATACCCAGTAGAGTACCCAGCACAGTACCTAGCACAATACCCAGCACTGTACCCAGCACAGTGCCCGGCACAGTGCCCAGCATAGTGCCCGCCTGGTCTTGGCTGCATTGAGGGAAAGCCCTGACTAACGCCATTCTTCCAGCTTTCCTGGTCTCCTGGTTCTTCTCCCTCCTGGAGTTTTCCCTCCATCCAACCCCCACCTGACTGTTGCCCTCATTGGCTCCTTCAAATCGGAGTTGTTCTGTGGCTGCAGTTCAAGTACCCATCCCAGTTGGCTGGTGTCCCTTGCCAAGCACTCCTGGACCGTGTCCTTGCTGGTGATGGGCTATAAAACCTCGCACCAGCCAAAGAACGTAATCCTCGGGGCAGCGAAGAAGAGTAAAAGCTAATTCTCAAAAGTGGGCTTTGCCAGCTCAGCCACTTCTCTGACACCAGGCCCTGGACCCACAGCCAACATCCCACTGGTTGATGTTTCGGTTTCAGGGTAGATGTTTCTGCTTCAGGCCGGGTGGGGCTTGGCGTTCTGCCTGCCTTTGGGACTGGCCAGCTCCTCTCTCTTTGACAGAGAAGTAACAGACTCTCCCCTGCAAAGGGCGGTGGGTCTCAGGGTGTCCCGTGTCCCCCAGTCCAGCCTCTGCCTCCCTGACCAGGAATCCGGGGGGAAAAGGTCCAGAGGCCTGGACGAGGTCACACGGTCAGGACACTAGGCTTTGGGGAAGGGGCCACTGTCCTCATGGGGACTTTCCAGGCCTTCTGGCTCCTGCTGGGTGTGGCAGAGAGAGACTGAACTTAGTTTCTTCCCCAGAGCTGTTGGCTCCCTTGATTTAAGGAGTTGGATTCTGACTGAGCTTAAATTGGGCGGCCTCCCTGACTGCTGCAGAGTTGTGCTGCAAGGCTGAAGGTCTCGGTGGGTCCCCAGCGCCCTTGTTTGTAAAACTGGAGCTCCTGTGGTGCCCATCCTGCTGGCTTGGGGAGTGGGTGTGCAGTCTGCTCCACAACTCTCGGTGTCAGAAACGTCAGATCCTTAATTATTATTATCTCTAATCAGATGAAATCTCACTGGATGGCAAGAAATTCACCCTCAGCCACCTTGTGGGACCCTTGCTCCTGAGTGGTGTGAAGTGTTCCAGGCAGGGGGTGGGTAATCTTGCTCAGCCCAGAACATTCCGTGGTGGCCCTCAGATCTTTAGTCCACACGAATCACTATGGTACCTTTGCTTCCACATCACTGCTTGCTGCTGAGCGGGACTTGGGGTCCCTGCCGGGTGCTGGGGGCAGGCATTACCCTCTGGGACCCTGCCACATCCTGCTGCTTGGGCTGCCCCGAAACCCAAACCAAGCCTCTTGCCCTCTGTTGGGAAATGTCCCGCTCTTCACTCTGCTGCTCCCCCGCCCACTCATAGCACACGGAGGCCACCTGTGGAGGAGCGTGCAGAATTTCATGTTTGATAACACAGGAGGGGAAGTCCCTCTGTACTAGCATCCTCATCCTCATCATCGTTAACCGTTCTCGTATGAAGTAACAAAAAGGACTGGGACCATTGCCCATTTGCACGTGTTGGGGGAGGGTCTACATAATTCCTGAATGGTTAATAAAGTATACTGACATATCAATGGTTTAATTCATAGTATTTTTAAAATTGATATTATAACCCAGTGAGGTAGGCGAAGCAGTGATTGTTATAGCTATCTCAGGGTGAGAGAGGGAGGCCCAGAGTAGTCGAGTGACCTGCCCAGGGTCACACAGCCATCAACGGGGCAGCATGTGACACAGCAGGGGCCTCTCCTCCACCGCACCCTCGAAGAAGGGTCAGAGACCAGCCCGCTGGGACATCAGTCTGAGAAAACTGCCAGCCCCCGTGGGGGAAGCCTGAGCTTTAGGCAAATGTTGTGCTGCCAGCAAATACAGATCAGCAAGTAAGTAAAAATGGTAATCACAGGGGACAGTTAGTGATGGAGAATGGAAAGATGGGCAGGCGGGGTGCTGATGGCTCTCCCTATGTCACACAATGCTTACTGTCACCCTGGGTGACATAACCATTGTCTTCCCCTGTTTCGCAGGCCTAGAGGATTTAAGCTGGTGTCATGCAGGTGGTCCGGCATGGCCCTGGAATTGGAAGCCAGGCATATTTTTGCTACGGAGACCAAGCTTTAGTTGGGAAAGATTTAGAATAATAACAATTCGTAATGACAGTAACTAACGTTAATCAGAGATGTACTATTTGCTAGACACTGTGTTTTAGAATTGGTCCTCCAAGAAGCCTGTGCCAAGATGACATGAAATGTGCAAGACATTTAATAGGGAGAAGCCTATGAGGGAAAATGGAGAAGGAGCCCGGAGAGGCTGGGAGGGACGAGGTCAGACTCCGAGTCCAGGAGAGCGGGGAGCGTCTCTGACTGCCATGCGGCATCCTGGACCAGTCACCCATCAGAGGAACCCAGTGTCCCCCAGGAACGGTCCTGCCCTCATGTTCCTGCTCTTTCATTGGTGGGAGCAGCTGAGGGAGCGAGGCCTTGGTGCAAAGTGAACACTCAGAGATAATTCCGGAGCCTCAGCTGGGGCCCTGGGTCAAGCCTGCTCCCCACAGGAGACCTGAGAGACAGAGTCCTCATGGTCCCACACACTGTGACATGTGCTTTACAAGCATTTTCTCATTTAATCCTGAAAAAAAAAGACTCTGAGAGCTAGATACTATGAAAACCCCCATTTTACAGATGAGAAAACCAAGTCCAAAGAGACAATGGAACTTGTCCGACTTCACACAGCTGGAAACAAGCTGAGGGGGGAAGGGAAGGCCTCAGACAGCCCTGGGCGGTTCTGGCTCATCTCCTTGCTCCTTGCTCCCACCCTCAGAGCCGTTAGCACGCTGCCCAAGGGCACGGGAGAAGGGCACGGGGCTGTGATTCGAACCCCAGCTCCTCTGGGCTCCAAGGCCTGGCTCTTCCCATCACACCGCTGTCTCCCCAAGGCTCTGCCTGTTTGCGTTTTGTCTGACCCCCGGAAACTGGCTTTTGTGTCCACGACAGAAAATATGCCAGCTGGAGCCGGAGGGGCGCGTGAAGGTGGACCTGGCGCTGCGGGCGGCCGAGGCCCTCCTGGCGTGCTGCCACGAGGACCAGAAGCCCGAGATCCTGGCCCGGCTGAAGGACATCAAGGCCCAGTGGGAGGAGACGGTCACCTACATGACGCACTGTCACAGGTAGGGCGGGCAGGGACCCTGCCAGGCCTTCGTCTGCAGCTTCCGCTGACCCTCCTTGCCCACCACCACGCTGGCCTGGGGCCTCTGCCCGGGGACATTTCTCCAGTCCTGAGATTGCTGGGAACAGAATGTTCTCTTGGGATTTCAGCCAGTCCTGCCTGCCTCTTTCTAATTGAAATCAAGCTTAATGATGATAATAGACAGTGGGAGCCCATGGTGTTTTGCCAACAGTGAATTCCTGGTAGACTTGCCATGTGTGCATCCTCCAGCAGAATGGCAGAGCAGCCCTGGAGGAAGAGGGCCTGCTGTCTTGCTTGCAATGTAACCCAGATTCTCTGCTGGAATCAGGGAGCCAGAGGGTGCTGGGGGGCTTAGACAGGCCTGGGTTTGCCTCTTGCTCTGCTGGTTATTTGCTGTGTGGCCTTGGGAAAGTTATTTGACCTCTCTGAGCCTCAGGCTCCTCATCTGGACAATGGGTATAACCAAGTGTTCAATGAAGGTTGTTAGGAGGGTGGAAGGGGACAGCAAGTGTCAAGAGCAAGGCATAGTGCTTGGCACACAGCGGGCCCTCAGTAAACCGGAGCTGCCAGCGTCCTCTCCATCTTTGTAAAACCAGAATGTGAGTGGACGAGGGGCGGGCACTGTGCACAGTGCTGTCTGCTTTTCAAACCCTTTCACTTGAAATTCCAAACGAAGTGGCTTGATGTTGGCTGAACAGATAGGGCCATCTCCATCCTCACCTCCAGATGGGGAAACTGAGGCAGGAGAGGAGGCAGGGTTATGCAGTGAGTTCGTGGCACCCCCAGAACCCACACACAGGCCCCCAGCCTTCGGTCCCCACTGAGCGGTGACAAGCCCACAGATACTATTGTACTCTGCAGATTACTAGACACCTCCCAGCCGCAGTCCTTGTGACTGTTAGTGGGCATGTGTGTGGTAAGAGCCAGGGCAACTGTGTGCTGGGTCCCCACACCAGAGAGAGAAATGGCTGGGGGCATTGTGCATCAATGATGGGAGTTTAGGGCTAGATTTGGGGTGCTGGGGGCTAAGGGCTCCCCAAGCTGCATCAGGAAGGCTGGTGGTTCTCAGAGCAGGTCTAGAGTCTGAGCCACGTTGGTCCTCAGCCCCACCCATGTTGCTTATTTACCAGACAAGAGGGTCTTGTCTAATAGGAGGGAGGTAGGGCCCAGAACCTGGAGTGTCAACCAGCTGCCCAGGTGACCCTGAGGCCCAGAAGGGCATCATTGTGTCCCCCTCCCACAGCCCCCTAGTACTGGGGAGGGGGCAGTGGCCTGGCCTGCCTGCCCAGGAGCCAGGTAGGCAGGTCCTTCATGGCCTGGTGGTCTCTGTGCCCACAGCCGCATCGAGTGGGTGTGGCTGCACTGGAGCGAATACCTGTTGGCCCAAGATGAGTTCTACCGCTGGTTCCAGAAGATGATGGTGGTGCTGGAGCCCCCTGTGGAGCTGCAGCTGGGCCTGAAGGAGAAGCAGTGGCAGCTGAGCCATGCCCAGGTGCTGCTGCACAATGTGGACAACCAGGCCACGCTCCTGGACCGGCTGCTAGAGGAGGCGGCCTCCTTGTTCAACAGGATCGGGGACCCCAGCGTGGACGAGGATGCCCAGAAGAGGATGAAGGCCGAGTACGATGCAGTGAAGGCCAAAGCCCAGGTGGGTGAGATGTGATGGGCTCTATCTTCACCCATCCATCCATTTATCTACCCCTTTCTCCCCAGCCGGCCACTGACCATCTATCCATCCATCTACTCACCATCTTCTATCCTCCCACCCAACGCCCACTCACCCACCCAACACCATCCATCCATTTACCCACCCTCCTATTCACTCACCCACCCAATGCCCACTCACCCACCCAACACCATCCATCCATTTACCCACCATCCTATTCACTCACCCATCTATCTCCCCACTAAACTACCAAATCTCCCATTCACTATCCATTCACTCACCACCCCATCCACTTACCTGTCCAACCATCTATCCACCTACCAACCTCCTCTCCATCTGTTTACTCACTCATCCATCTACCTCCCCATCACCTAACCAGTCTCCTATTCATCTATACAACCATTTAATCAGCCACCCATCCATCTATCTATTCATTCACCTATTCATCAACCTGCCCACCTCTTCAGCCACCCATTCACTCATCCATCTCTCCACTATCTACTACCCTTCCACTGTCTACCCCTTCACCCACCTACCTACTAACTCACTATCTGCCTGTCACTCCTCTTCGTCTACTCACCTACCCACCACCTAACTACCCACCCACCAATCTTCTATCTACCCATCCACCCACCCGTCCACCATCCACTCACTCATCAACCCATTATTTACCATCCATGCACCCAGTGTCACTCAGTGCTTTGTACACATGTGGGCACTTGATACATGTGCATTGACCTACTGACTGATGGACCATGAGGTTCGGTTTTACCTGGCTCCCGTCCTGTCCTCGCCTCCCTCCTCGTGCCTTTAGCCTTTCCTCCTTGGCTCTAACTTGCCCTTCCCCAATCCCTCTGCCCATCCTTTGCCCCCATTCCCTCACCTCATTCTTACCTTGATTTTTAAACAGTCCATTGAGTTATGAAGTTCAATTATTATTATTTTTTAAAGAAATTCTATTTGGTTCTTTATTATGTCCGCTGTTCTTTTTTTCACTATGTCTTCTTTTTCCCTTAAATTTGGCAGTCCTTCCAGATATGGGTGATATCTGCAATCATTCTAAGCATACGTATTTTACAGCCTCCATTACATTGCTCAAGTAGCTCAAGTTCTGGGCCCTGACGCTGCCGTCTGTTGGGTCTCCTGATGTGCTGGACCGTTTCCTTGGGGGCTTTGTAATTTTGAGCTCTGAGCTCATCCTAAGCAGGGCTTTATCTGAGGACCCCGGGGCTGGGGTCTGGCCTCAGAGTAGCTCCACACAGCCAGGCTCCCCTCGGAACTTACCTTCATGATTCCTATTTTTATGTCAGTATATTGGCTTGGGGGTTCCTGAATGGAGTGGGTATTCTAAACTTGAATCCTTAGCCAAAATTGTACAAGAGACCCCTGGCTCCATACTCTGAAAGGTGACTGTTTTTTCCTTTGTTTTTGTTTTATCGCAGAGCCCAAGCTGAAACACAAGCTTCCTTCTCGTATTGTGTTTATGGGGAGATTTTTTTTTCTAGTTCTAGAGATTTCTGTGCTTTGACAGAGGGGGCAGCCCCTCGAGGGTTCTGCCTTTTTGCAGTGGTCTCTGCCCCCTCTGGGAGAAAAGTCTTACTTCCTCCTCCAGCCTCTAGTAGACGTGTGAGCTGAGCAGTCTGGTGTCTATAACTTCTTTGCTTCTTCTCCGTGGGGTCTCTCTTACCTTGGTGTGCGTGGGTCTGCATTTAAACAATGCTTATTGTATTTTGTCCAGCATTCCTGGCTGCTGTAGTGGGAGGGGATGCAGGTTCTCTGGTCCTCCACAGAGCTGGACCTGGAAGTCTCCTGGGTCCTTCATGTTTACAAGCTAAGGGAAAGAGTTCCACAATAAGCAGAGATCTGGGAATCCATTAGCGGGAACAGGACTCTGGCCCCTGACTGCTTGGGAAGGCTCTGCTGCTTCCCAGCTGTGCGGCCTCAAGGCAGCTCGCCCTACCTGTAACCAGGTCGTGAGGACTGAATGAGTTCATGCGTGAGCTCTTTAAAACTGGCCAGCATTTTCCCAGCGTAAAGGCCGACTTCTACTCTCAGTAGCAATGAAAATAAATAGCAACAACAATGGTGTTTGACACACAGCAGGTGTGTGAGCTATTTATTGAATGAATGAGAACCCGCCCCTGCAGCCTGAAGGCATGCAGCCCCCAGGGCCCCCGAGGGGAGTGGCAGGAGGTTCTGGACTGCTGCGCAGGGGCCAGGATGGACAGGCGAGGCGGGTAGGGCGTTTGGCTCTCGCAGATGTAGCCTCACCAAGGGCAAGGGCAGGCTTACCAGCGATTTTCTCTCCCGGTCTGCCCCTCGGGCCCTGGCAGGGAAGGTGCCGCCCCATTGCCTCCTTGTGGTGCCTCTACAGGAAACAGGTGCTTATGTCAATCAGCAGAGAGCCCCTTGAGCAGCGTGCGGAGGAGAGGAAACGGAAAGTGGTTGGGCGTGTGTGTGCATGTGCATGTGTGTATGTGTGGAGGTGACACTGGGTGAGCGCCAGGTCTGGCCACGTGCAGAAATGATCACCTCAGATATTCTCACGTTCACTCCGGGGGACTCTCCCGTCACTGGATCCAGAAAAATCCTAGAAATGACAACTCTTATCAGTGACTGCCGTCTTTTCTGTCTCTCCATGTCTTGGACCTCATTTGGTCCTCGCAACCTTCTTACATGGTAGATAGAGAAGATGTGATTGGCCCATTTTTTTAGACTTAAAAAAAACATCTAAGTGTCAGGTACCCCTGGCCCACTAGAAAGAACCGGAAGTTCTAGGCGACTCCCAATGTAGCCTCTACCTCTGCTTGTGCCTCAGGTCCTGGGCGCGTCACTGCGTCTGTGCCCATCAGTGGGGAGCTGGGGCCACTGGTGCTTCGTGGGTCAGGCTGAGGAGGCGGAGGAGCGGTAAGTGGGAGGGTTAGAGCTCCTGGAGGAGGGAGCACGTGGCTTCCAAGTGTTTTCAGGAGGCAGAGGCCAGCTAGCAGGGTCCTGGGGGCAGAAGCGCGGGGGCCTCTGCCCCGTGAGGGTGGTGTGGGGAAGGAGGCCCTCAGAGTTGCCAGACTAGCTGGCCAATGCTGACCTCAACATGGAAATGGGGCGCTGCTATTTGCAGAGTGACCGGATGCTACGTAGAGAAGTGCATTCAGTTTGGCTCTTCAGCCGTTGGCTGAAGCTCACAGACTCCCCATTTTCTGCTCCGGGCCGTCAGAGGTTTGGGAGCCCTGTTCTCACTCACAGGAGCCGGGTGAGCTCTTGGATGGGGAGGGGTGTGGTGAACCCCGGAGCCATTTCTTCTCTCTCCCGGAGCTGGCCGTAGGATGGGAGGGGCCTCTTGGAGCCCTCTGAAGTTGTATGCAGACTGCTGTCTGAGTGTGCATTTTGCTGGAGAGAGGAACCATGGCTTTCCTCAGATTCCGGAGGGTGCCATGAACTTCAGAAGCTGCTGAGAGGGGCAAACTTTTACGTGACTCTTGGCGAGAGATTTAACTCTCGGCCCCAGTAAATGGGATATAGCCATTTACTGGGATAAATGGGATACAGCCCCAGACATCAACCTCCCGGGCCTCCCCCGGCCTGCCAGCTCTACACAGAAGGAAAACCCTCTGGCTCCGTCCTAAGCAGGGTGGGGTCGCTGCATGTCTAGTAGCCCCCAAAGATTCTTGGTGGCCTCCTGGTCACTTGCTCTGTATGTTTGAGGAAGGCCTCCCCTTGCATAGAGGGCTCTCTTGAGGCAGATGAGAAGGCATCCTGAGGTGGGCAGCTGAAATCCTCCTCCCCTAGTGACAGGACTAGGGCCGTGTAGGGATTCTGAGAGGTCCAGGCCTTTTCTCAGAGTGGGGAGGGTCTGTAGGATATTGTCTTAGTCAGCTCAGGCTGACATAACAGAATACCACAGACTGGGTGGCTGAACAGCAGGAATTTATTTCTCACGGTTCTGGAGGCTGGAAGTCTGAAGTCAAGGTGCCAGCAGATTGGGTCCCCAGTCAGGGGCCTGTTCTTGGATGCCTTCTCCCTGTGTCCTCATGTGGCAGAGAGAGAGGGACTGCAGGCTCTCTGGGGTCTCTTCTTATAAGGGCACTGATCCCATCATGAGGGCCCCACCCTCGTGACCTCATCTAACCCCACTTACCTCCCAAAGGCCCCACCTCCAAATACCTTCACACCGAGGGTTAGGGCTTCCACATATGAATCTGGGGAGGACACAATTCAGTCCATAGCAGATACTGTATGTATTAATTAATTATGTTGACTTGCACCAATGAGAGCCCATTTCAACACATCTCATGCTGGTTAATAGGCCATTATTTCACCTCTGAAAATCCGTTTTTGACTTCCAGTACGTTAATTAGCAAAGCCTCTGGTTGGTGGGGACAGAACCACAAAAGCACCGTGGGGGCCACCTCGGGACTGTGGCCTTTGTGACCACCCCATGGAGGGAGATTCTGAACTGGGACAACTGGCCAAACCCAGGAGTGAGCGACCGCACGCTGTCAGCCCAGCGCGTTTGCAAGTCAACAATGGACAGAGCAGGCTGGTTGCCAGGAGCGTCCTGCTCGTTTATTTTGTCTGAGTGTTTTTAATCCAGGGATTCTGTTTTCTGAAGGGCCAGGCAATAGTAGCGTCCTCCTCCTCCCTCCTGCCCAGGACGGCCCTCAGAGGAGGCGGGCTTGTCTGGCCTCTGGGCTGTGAATCAAAGCGGTTCGTGCAGCCCATTGCAGGGGCATAAATCCACGCTGCCCTTGTTAATTGGTTGGGTTCTGACATTCCTGACAACTCTGCCGGCCACAGATGTTTTAATTGTTTGGTCTAACGAGAGAAGGTTGAGCACTCTCCCATTCGTCACCCCGTCATCCTCCCGCCGTGGCCGGCCCGGCAGCCGCTGAATTGTGCTCTGTGATCTCATTATGCCTGGCACTGAGCTCATCTGGATGCCTGCCCTGCTCGGCCGCCTTCCCCTCCGAGTGCCTGCTCACTGTCACAGGGGCTTTTATTTACTCTGGATTTCCCCAAGTGCCAGCACCTCATCGCTCACACACACACACGCACACACACACGGAGCACCAGCCGGCACTTTCGTTGGAGAGTTTGCTTCGCTGTAACGTTTGTCACCATCAGCGTCAACCAGGGGCCCAGCATTTATTCTCTGCTTGTTATTCCTGACCCAGTTTCATAAATGAGACTTTCCTATGGATGGAGGAAGGTCTGGGAGGGTTTTGATGAATGCAAATAATCGTGCAGAAAGGGGGAGCCTGCAAGGGAAACACCAAGGTGCCGGTCACCGTCCCTTGGTCCACTTTTGGAATTCAAGCATCTCCGTGTATTTCCATCTGCCGTGCGTTGCCGTTGAAGCTCCCCTACGTGTGAGGCTTCTCCGCCCTTCTCTGAAGGACTTGGTCCTTTGCCTTGCTTTCCCCATCTCTAAAATGGGGATATTTTCTTCTACTTGCAATGGTTGTGGCAGAGGTTTAAATAAATTAGTATTTCTAGCTTGGGTGAGGAGCTTCTCAAAGAGAGGGGAAGGCGTATACAAATAGCCAGGGAAGGTTTCAAATCCACATGTCTGTCCACACTTCCCCATAGAGAACTTTTGACGTAGCTTCGTGGGTGGTTGGGCCCTCCTGGACGTGGCCTGTCTCCATGGCTGACAGCTGAAGTCAGCAAACTACGGCCCTCAGGCCAAATCAGCCCACCTCCTGACTTTGTATGACCTGTGAGCTAAGGATGCTTAATACATTTTTATAACAATGCTTAATCCATTAATGTAAAATGAATCATTTTACGTTTTTTCATGACGGGGGGAAATAAAAAGCAGAATATTTCATGACATGAAAATGACATGAAATTCAAATTTCAGTATCTGTAATTAAAGTTTGTTTTTTTGTGTGTGTGTGTGTGTGTGTGTGAGGAAGATCAGCCCTGAGCTAACATCCGTGCTAATCCTCCTCTTTTTGCTGAGGAAGACCAGCCCTGAGCTAACATCTTTTTGCCGTTCTTCTCCCTTCCCCCCCCCCGCCAAAGCCCCAGTAGATAGTTGTATGTCATAGTTGCACATCCTTTTAGTTGCTGTATGTGGGACGCGGCCTCAGCATGGCCGGACAAGCAGTGCGTCGGTGCGCGCCCGGGATCTGAACCCCGGGCTGCCAGTAGCGGAGCGCGCGCACTTAACCACTAAGCCATGGGGCCAGTCCCCGTAATTAAAGTTTTGTGGGAATACGACCGTTCTTTTAGGGGCTTGCCCATGGCTGCTTGTGCACCACGACCTGCTAACACGTAAGTGGTTGAGCAGTCGCAACAGAAACCATCCCACGGGGAAAGCCAAAAACATCCACTATCTGACAGCAACAGTGGGCCACCCCCCGTCTAGAGCATTGGTTTTGGGGTCTGACTCTTGCCCTTTAAATCTCGTCTGCAGGGCTCTGCAAGAGTCCTGTGACCTCCCAACTCTGGTTTGGAGTTTGCAGATGGGAGGGTTCTGTGATTGTTGTGAAGATTAAGTAAGATAACGCTTGTCAAGTTCCAGGCACATGGTAGGTGCTTATTAAATGGAAGCTGCTTCTTCCCCTTTTCTTAACTCTCCTTGAAAATTTGCCTCCGCTAGCAGATCCTCCACGTTTATTCTTCCTGCCATTCAGGAAGGTTCATTCACAGCTGCCCTGAGCCGGACCTGGGAGACAAATCAACAAGCTTGCCCTTAGGGAGCGCTTGGTCCCCCCCCCCTCACCCGGGGGTGACAGTGCAGTAGACAAGCTGTGAGAGAACCACAATGCAGAGAGCAGGCCGTTAATTCAGCCAGGGGCAGTGGGCAAATCCTCAGAGAAGGAAGGTGCGGCCTGGAGGTTGGCACTGCCAGGTGGGCACACGCCCGCTCAGTTGGGTGTGACAATAAATGATGGCTCGCAGTTACTAAGTACTTACTAGCTGCCGGGTGCTATTCTGGGTTGTGCGAGCTCTGAGTCATTTAACCCCACTGCACCCCGGTGAGGCAGTACCGTTATTAACCACACGGCACAGATGAGGAGATCGGCACAGAGGGGTTAATTACGTGCTCGAGGCAGAGCAGGGTTTAAGTCACAGGCAGCGGGCTCCCAAGCCCAGGGTCTCAACCACTGGGTCACAGAGCCGCATCGTGGGGTCCCACCCTTGACTGCCAGGCTGAGGAGTGGAGGAGTTGAAAGAGATGGTGCTGTGATCGGGGTGTGTTTTGAAAAACAGAGTCTCTAGGCACACAGTAGGTCTTATAGCAGGGAAACTGTTCTTTCCGCAGATGTCAGCCACCCTCGGGACACCATTTTGTCCATGTGGTTAGAACTTCAGTAGATTGCCTGAAGATAGAGAGGATTCACCCCATGCAGGCAACATCGCTGCACTCATGAGGAGAGGGGGCAGCCGGCTCTTTGCATCCCCTGTAGACACCATTGTGATGGAGCAGAAATGCGTCCACCAGCCTTTCCTCCTGGGTTTGGATCTTGGTGCTCTCCTAGCCAGGTGACCTTGGCCAAGTCATTTCACCTCTGTGCCTCGGTTTCATTGTGTGTCAAACTGGGATGATAATGGTGCCACCTGGTGGGGTGGTCAGGTGAGTTCAATGAGATGATAATGTGCGTAAAGTTCTTAGAACTGCGCTGGCACCTTGGTGAGCGCTCAGATGATAGTGGTGCGTACCAATAGTTGTTGTTACCATGCCTATCTTGAGTGCCGTTCCTAGGACATGGCAGGAAGGAAAGCCAGCTGGATAGTGGACAGGCCCAATGCTGACGTGCTTTTGTCTCCGAAGCCAAGAAACTCTTGGCTTATTACTAATAAGGTAGAGAAGAGCATCTGGGATCTCTTTGTCTCCAGCAGAAGGGCTGAGGGTTGGTTGCATCTCCCCACCCCCAACATACACAACCTGCAGACCTTGAAGGCCAGGGCAGCCCAGGCTGGGACCCTCGTGGTTAGTGACTTTCTTCCCCTACCACAGGACAGGGTGGACCTGCTTGAGCAGGTGACCCGGGAGCATGAGCATTTCCAGGCAAGCGTGGATGAGTTCCAGCTGTGGCTGAAGGCCGTGGTGGAGAAGGTGGGCGGCTGCCTGGGGCAGAACTGCAAGCTGCCCACCCAGCACCGTCTCTCCGCGCTGCAGGTAACCCCCGGCCGTGTCTCCATCGGGGGTCCACTGAGGGAGCACTCACATGGGGAGGGTTCTATGTTGCAGTTTATTTAATGGGATAGTCCTGGGTCACAGGAGATATAAACATCCACGCACACATCCCCATGTGAGGAGACGCATGGAATCAAGGGGCAAGTGTTTGGGGCCTCAGCTACTTCACGGAAATCTCTGGGCCAGCAGGACATTTGGAAACCCAAGGCCACAGCAGCATGGTCTAGACCAGTGGTTCTCAAATGGGGGACATTTGGCCATGTCTGGGGACATTTTTGGTTGTCACAACTAGGGGAGGGGATGCTACTGGCATCCGGTAGGTGGAGGCCAGGGATGCTGCTAAACATCCTACAATGCGCAGGATCGCCCCCCAACAAAGAATGGTCTGGCCTCAAATGTCCGTTGTGCGGAGAGTAAGGAGCCCTGGTGTGGGCATCAGGCCTGCCATCGGGAGAAGCCGGGTCCACTCTGGCCTTCCTGACTTGCTGTGACCTTGAATGAGCTTCTGACTCTCTCTGTAAAGTGAATGGGTAGATCATCTTCAATAATTCAAAGACCACTTTATAATTTTTGCCACAGCTATACAGAACCTGTGCCATTTATTTAATATTTGTATTTAAATTGACTCACTTTTAAAGAAACTGACAGTGACCAAAAAACATCTCATATGACTTCTGTAAGAATGTTCACAGTGACCTTATTCATAATAGCTCCAAACTGAACACGACTCAGATTTTTATTAGTAGAACATTAGGTAAACACATTGTAGAACAGAACATACATACAAAGGAATATTACTCATAATAAAAAGGAATGAAGTACTGATATACACGACAACATGCAAGAATCTAAAAAACATGCTGAGTGAAAGAAGCCAGTTTCAAAAGAGAATACATTCTATGATTTCAAATATATGAAGTTCTAGAATCTTCTGGGATATTAGAAATGCTCTCTATTTTGATAACAGTGTGGACTACATGGGCATACATATTTCTCAAAACTCTTTGAAGTGTAACACTTATCTGTATATTTTACTCCATGTAAATTACACTTCCATAAAAAACTAAAAAAATACATTGAAGTCTTTTTCAATTAAAACAGATTTAAAGATGTTTATATAAGAACTTTAAAAAATTAAAAACCAATGTACATCTACTTAAAAAGAAAATGTATGTCATTGTCATAAATGGAAAACCAGTACCCATTCATAATTAGTAGATAACCATGCAACTAAATATAATGAAGCCAAATGGGGTCATGAGGTTCTATTTGGCTCTACGCTTTTGCCAGCTGAAGGCTGGGAGCCTCAGGCTGCCTTCTCTCTTTGTTAAAAAGGCAGATTCACAAATGTCAGAGAGAGTTAAGACAAAGAAGCACCCAACAGGGCTTTCTCCTTGTTGTAATCAAATGGCTGAAAAAGACGTGGGAAGGGAATTACGTTCTCATGCTTTGAGTCAATGTTGTTAAGGCAGACAGTCTACCCCTTGGAATGGCACCTCTGACTCGAACCCAGGAATCTAGGAATTAGTAGTTAGCACTACCTTCCCAGGAGCTCTGGAAAATGCAGCAAATGTTTTCTTTTTCCCCTTATGTTTTTTTTCCCTGTCCCCTTTAGGACATCACCAACGATTTTCCCAAGGGTGAGGAGTCTTTGAAGAGGCTGGAGGAGCAGGCTGTGGGGGTCATTCAGAATACCTCTCCTTTGGGTGCAGAGAAGATCACCAAAGAACTGGAGGAGATGTGGAAAGTTCTGGAGAAGCTGCGAGTCCTCTGGGAGGAGGAGGTGGGGCGGCTGCAGGACCTGCTGAAGTCCAAGGGGGCCCATGAGCAGCAGAGGAGGCAGCTGGAGGCCGAGCTGGGCGAGTTCAGGAAGGGCCTCCAGAGGCTGGCCGAGGAGGGCCTGGAGCCGCAGGCGAAGGCAGGGACTGAGGACGAGCTGGTAGCCCGCTGGAGACTCTACTCGGTAAGCAGAGTTTGGCTAAGCCATGGGCCAGTCCAGGTGCCCTGCGTGTCTTGGGGTGTCACCACTTGGAGCTCCTCTATGTGGTGGGAAAATCACGCTAAGCCTTAAGGACACTTAACTCTGGTTTTCCTGGATCTTGGTCGTGTAAGTTGGGTATTTGTACCCATTTTCCAGATAAGGAAACGAAGGCCTGGAGAGATTTTTTTTTTCCCCAGTGTCCCCAGGATCACCCAATGAGTCGGTGGATAAATAAGACATGAGGTGGATTGGCTCCAAGGTTGCCATTCCCTTGCCTGATGGTGGGACGTAGGATGGACTTCCTGAGCACAGAGCAGGGAGTGTTAGGTCGGGGGAGACCTCTTAGTGCAGAGACGATGAGGAATAAACACAATGGGGCTGCTGGGAAGGCCAAGCAGACGATGCCCATCCTGGGGAGGGTAGAAGGGATTGGACACCAGACATGGTGTCCAATCGGAGCACCCCCCCACCACCGTGTGCACACTCACAGGAAGTTTGACTTGTGGACAGAGAGATTTTTTTAATCTATTTATTTTTTCCCCCAAAGCCCCAGTAGATAGTTGTATGTCATAGCTGCACGTCCTTCTAGTTGCTGTATGTGGGATGCGGCCTCAGCATGGCCGGAGAAGTGGTGTGTTGGTACGTGCCCAGGATCCGAACCCGGGCCGCCAGTAGCGGAGCACGCGCACTTAACCGCTAAGCCATGGGGCTGGCCCAAGAGATTTTTAAAATAAGGATTAACACCCTCTCCCACTCCTATCTTTATTTATTAACTCAGTAGGTTAGCTCCATGTCAGTTCCATTGGGGGAAATCTCTAAACGAAAAGCCACCCCAGATCCCACCTCCGCTCCACGCTGTTATTCAGTATTTTTTCTTCCTTCTAATATTTGCCCATATGCAAAAATATTTTTGTGTAGGTAGAAAAAGCACACATACTCTTTAGGGCTCACTCAGCCTCGTAGAGACCAGATTCCCCGCAATGATCAACTTCATACAAAGGGAATTGTTTCCCTTTAGGATTGGCTGTCTCAGCACAAGGCAGAGCTGGTGTGGCGCAGTGGTTAAGGGTGGAGGCTTTCAGCTCAGACTGCCCGGGTTCGAGTCCTGGTTCCCCTTCTCACTGGACTGCTTTGGGAGAATTACTCTCATCTCAGTTAAATGTGAGATGGGAGGAGGATGTGAGATGGGAGGAGGACCTGCCTCACATGTTCCTTATGAACATGTGACAACAGAAAGTGCCTAGAATAGCACCTGCCAAGAAGTCAGAATGAGTTCCAGATGAGGGATAAGATCACACAGCCACTTGCCTGTGCCTGGCCAGGTTTCCGGAAGCCCTCCCCAAGGCAGGAAGCTGACTACCTCCCTACAGAGGCTCCCTCCCTCACCTGATTCCGGTGTGACCTCAATTATGATCAAGTGTGACTAACCGGAAATCAATGAAAGGGTATTTCAGGATTTATTACTAAAGACTTTCATTCTTAAACTAGCATTCATGTAGCTATGTTTGCACTTCTTATTGTGTGTTCTCTAGTAAGGAGCAGACACACCTGAGCTGCTCCAGCCCAGCCCTCTGGAGAGGCCGGGTGCCCGGGGACGAGGCCAAGAGTGTGGCTGCGAGGCAGCTGACCTGGTTTGGGCTGGGAGCACCCTTGGCCCAGCAGAGCAGGGGAAGGTAGACGGCAGTCATCCCAGCTTGCACCAAAAAAGAAATTTGGACTGTTTTCCCTCTTCTGAGAAGCAGGCACACTTCAGGGACACAGGTTGTGTCAGGGCCTCAGCTGAAAGAACCACTTGTAAAGGAGTTCTCAGTGAGGGAGGTGTTCGTCTTCAGCATCATCACAGTGAGGTCACTGTTCACCCAGCGTGTGCTACTCTGAGTGCTGTACAGCCCTACGCGGAGGGCACTGTCACCATCCCCCTTGTATAGATGGGGAAACTGAGGCGCTGGGAGACCTCCCCACGGTTGTGCAGCCTACAGCTGGAGGCAGGGCTTTGAACTTGAACCCAAGCAGTCTGACTCAAGAGTACATGCTTCTAGCCACTGGGCCAGCTCAGGCTCCCAGTTTTAGAAAATTAGCATAATGAGGAGACAGACCAGGAACGTGGGCATCGGTGCTTGTCTGGCTGTGACCACGGGCTGATCTCTCCACCTAGACCCTCCCCCACAGAGAGCAGGGGGCCGAGCATGATTTGTGACCTCCCTCTGCCGACCAGGGCAGGACCATTCATCCATTTCAGCACCCAAGGTTGAAATCGGAGTGGTTTTGTGCCTAAACCTGAGGTGGTCAGGAAACGCAGCTGCCTAGCAGGGCCCACCCTCCCGGGCACCCCAGGGAGTCCACAGACTAGAGATGACAGCATCATAGGTGCAGCTGCGGCATGGCATGGCTGGCAGGGCCCCTCTTATTTCACAAGGCAGGAAACCGCGTCCAGAGAGGGACAGTATTTAGCCAGGCTAATGCTGTGGGGCAGTGTCCTTCCCACTGTGGCTCCCTGGTCACTCTCTGCTCCTCCAGGACCCAGGGCCCTTGGCGTTTCTGCGACTTGCATGGCCTCAGATTGACTCTTGACCTTCCTGTGGTCTGGACAGGCCTTTTTCCCGAGGCAGCCCATAGTCCCGCTCTCCCTACAGACCCCTGCCCTGCCCTGCCCAGTCTCTGCTTGCCTGCAGGCCAGCCAGCCCTTCTGCGTGTGATGTGCGGACTTCTTCATGGATGGTTTGGAAACTGTCAGTTTTCACAAACCGATCGTGTCTTCATCTTCTATGAAAACATGTATAGATTTCATTACATTTCCTTAATAATTGAATATGGACAGGAATATTTTTGAGGATGGACAGGGCTGGCTGGGCAGATTCTACATCCTGCTGCCTACACAGTGGCCCCTCTTGCCCCTAGCCACTGCCTACAATCTCTATTTGAGCTTGCTCCCTTGAACTTAAGACTCTGGTCCCTGTTCACCGGTAACTCACTCGAGACTGAGCCTGATTGGAGCTGCCCCTGGTCCCTGTGAATGGAGCATCTGGGGGGAGCACAAGGCTGCCTCCCGGGGTGTGGGAGCAGCTGGGGAGGGGCATGGCTGGGCTCGTGCTCTGTACTCAGTGCCTTGTCAAGTGGGGTGGCCCCATTTTACCAACAAGGGAACGGCCCAATGTTGCACAGCTAGGAAGGAGTAGAGGTGGGTTTCCAGGCCAGCCTGTGTTGCGCCAAAGCCCGTGCACTTTCCACTTCCTCATCCTGCCTCCTCCCGAGCATGGGCCCATCAAGAGTCTAGGTCAAGGGGAAACGCCACACTTCCCAGGACAGCAGGAAAAGGCCTCGTCTGGAGTATCAGAATGCAGTCAAGTGGAGTGGTTCAGGAGTGCTCAGTGGAAATATCCTCTCCACCTGTTGATAACAATAACCGATTCACAGCACCTTCAGATCCTTGTTTCCTTTGGTGCTGACGAGGCAGGTTAAGAGCCGGCGGGCCTGGCTCTGATGTCAGGTCCACCGTTTACCGGCTCTGCAACTGTCAGAAAACTCTTGGCCAGAGTTTCCTTATATATAAAATGGGGACACAGAGACCTCCCTTCCAGGATCCTTGCAAGGCTGAACTGAGTGAGACACCCAGAGCGCTCAGCATCGTGTCAATGTTCCCTAGATGTTAGTAATTTGTATTATTAGGTGCTGGTACTTGTCATGACGATGCTGAGAGGTCGGTGATAATAAAGAGAAAACGTGCAGCTCCGGGAGAGTAACTGTTGTGTTCAGGGTCACGGAGCGGGAGGTGGGAGAGCAGGGGCTGAGCTCACTGGGGCCCCAGTCCCTGCCTCTGGGGACAGTGTTCTCCCAGGCTGGCCCACCTCCACTGGCCATGCTCATCCCCCTGCACACACACGTCCTGTCACAGAACCTCACCTGCAGGGGTTGTCTGTTGTGCTGCAGGCGACGCGGGCGACGCTGGTCACGGAGGAGCCCCGGGTTGACTGGCTGCAGGCCCAGCTGAAGGAGCTCATCACCTTCCCCCACGACCTGCAGCCGCTCTCCGACAGCGTCGTCGCTGCCATCCAGGAGTACCAGAGGTACCTGGGCAGGCTGAAGGCGGGCAGACTCGGGGTGCCTGAACCCCACTCTCCAGGGGCCTTCTTACCCCATCTAATGCATCTCCAGGAGGTGGGCTTGCTGTCTCTTGCAGCCTGCTAACTCTTGCACCTCCCAACAACTGGCTGTTACAGGGTCTCACTCGGCTCAGCACTGTCTCCTTTGACAGTGTTCTGTGTTTTGCTCCTGGAAAGAGGCCTGAACCTTGTTTTATTCCATGCTAAATGGCTCATTCACCCATTTCCATCAAGTCTCTTTATGCATCTTAGCACTGGGGACAGGTCCACCATGTAATGGCCCAAGGGGAGGGCTTTTCTAGACAAACACCATTCTCCTGCATTCTGATGGTGCAGACATAAGCATCTGAGCCCATCTCAGACCAGCCTCTACCTCCCCCTCGGCCCATGGGCTCAGGCATGGCAGGATCTCCAGTCTCCTAGCTCAGCAAAGACCAGTGGATCAAATATCTACCCGGTGTGGAACTGAGCACAGTGTAAAGTTGGAATCTGCAGCTATTTTTGCTACCGTAGCCTCAGAAGTGTTCTAAACACAACATAACTGTCCACGTATCCGTAGCGCCTCTCGTTCCTCTGCCTGATACAGGGGGTTCCTCCAGAATGAACTCATGGAGCTCCCCCCTTGCTGTGTCTCTCACCCCACAGTGTGCTCAGGCCTTACATCTGTACAATCAGAGCAGGGGCCTAGGTCCCCCCCGGGATGCTAAGGTGGTGGCGGGGCCTGAATTTCCTGTGCACAGAGCAAGCAGGGAGACAGCGGGGTGAGGGTCTCCCTCCAGTTTCTCGTGCTGAGGTTTCACGTGCTGGTATTTATGACTAGGTGCTGGATATTGCGTTCGAAAAATTATCTGGGCCTGGGATGATGGTCTCTTACTCAAGAAAGGATTTTGTTTGCTTCTGCTAGGTGCCTGGGGTGGGCTGTACCAGTCCAGGGGCTCTGTAATTCCTCTGCAAGGCTTGAGGTTCCCTGGGCTTAGAGCTGGGTGCAAGTCTGTCTGAGGAATGGCTTACTTCCAATGCACTTTTATCCAGAGGACTTAGACCTTTGAGGTCCCATAGACATTCCCAGCAGCCTGGGGTTCAGGAGAGAACTCCCCTGGGAGCAGTGCTCCCGGCTCCCCAGCTCCCTGGGGTCCGGGCAGAGGCCTCATTCCAAACTGACCCCACTCTCTCCTCTCTTGGTTTTCCCTCCACGGCCCCTGCAGCATGAAGGGGAAGAGCGCCAGGCTGCGCAATGCCACGGGGGCGGAGCTGTGGCAGCGTTTCCAGCGGCCCCTGCAGGACCTGCAGCTATGGAAAGCCCTGGCCCAGGGCCTCCTGGATGTCACCGCCAGCCTGCCAGACCTGCCCTCCATTCACACCTTCCTGCCCCAGATCGAGGTAACCGTGGTCCTGCCAGGAGGGGGCAGCCGGGGGAGGCCACCAGCCAAGCACGGCGTTTCAGCCGCTCTCACAGGGAAAGGCGTGTTCCTGGGTCCTCCAGATTTGTGAGTAGAGCTCACTGCACCATGTCTGGCACAGGAGTCCTGTGCACACAGGAAGTGTCAATACTTGTTCTCAGTGACAAAGGTCATCCTCAGTTCTAGGGTAGAAGGCGAAGCCTGGTGCCCGTGTGACCCCAGGACTCTGCACTGACCCTCGCACACCGCTTCTCTTCAGGACCCCACTGCAGGCGGTCCTCTGGTGGAGGTATGCACAGTTCTGAGATATAGCAGCATGTCAGGTCATTACCTTTACTGTGTATCAGTTAGCATGCATGTGACAAGAGGCAGAGAACCTGACCAGTGCTGGCTTAGGACACAGAGACCTTCACGTGGTCCCAGGCTGGCTTGATAGCTCAACAGTATCACCCAGGACCCAGGCTCTTTCCAGCTCTAAGCCATGTCTCCCTTCGTGGCCCCAAGATGGCTGCCACTGCTGCAAGCATGTATCCTCACATGAACAACTCTTCTGCAGGAAGGAACAGCATGGGGGCAAAAGAGAACTCTCCATCTGCCATTTCCAACAGGGAGGCAAATCCTCCTTCCCAGAAGCCTCAGCAGACTCCCCTGATGTCTCATTGGCCAGAGCAGGTCACATGACCGTCCTTGGACCAATCACTGGCTGAGGATAATGGGATTGCCATGACTGGCTTGTACTAATTATAGTCATAACCCTGGAACTGGGCACTTTGCCACCCAAACAAAGTCCTGGTTGTTTGGTGAGGAAGAAGGAGGAATGGCTGTTCGGTGAGCAGCTGACAGTGTCTCACAAACGCTTGTCAACGTGGTAGCTCTGATTTGCCTGTAAACAACGCCTTATGGTCTCGTGGAACTCTGAGGTCCGTAAAGTGCTTTCAGATCTACAGATCTTAGACACACAGAGTGGGAGGAGACACAAAAGAGTGCCAGGTGCAAGCCCCATCTTATATGAATTTTTCTTCTGAGTATAAAAGTCATGCCTATATGGAGAATGTAAAGATTTGTGAGGAAGGAAATAAAAAGCACTCGTACTCCCATAAGCCGCAGGACCATTGCTAACATGCTGAGGCATTTTCTCCATCATGTTTTCTGTCCAACTTGGGATTCCTGGGGGAATCATTAACCAGGGTTGGCCCCTGCTCACCCCTGAGCACACGACCCCGCCACAGACCAGGGCCTGCATTTTAGAGTGTCTACACTCGTGATTTTCCACTTGGGGCTCACATTGGAACAATTTGTTTTCTCTCATTGTAGTTAAGCCATAGAGCATGGCCTTTCTTTCTGGGGGTTCTGTGCGCTCCCCACTGTGGTCCGAGGATGATGGTCCACCATCTTGAGAGTCTTTCGGGCTCCCCAAAGTGAATTCATGAGTGCCACAAATCTCAATTTTCGGTCTGACCATCCTGAATATACCCTTTATATCTGATGAAAATCCATCTAGCCATTTCCATGAGATATGATCACCAATAGGCAGAAGCTTAAATTAATTTATTGCAATTTTTGTTTTTGGAGTCGTGTTATATAGTTGTATATTCTGAGATTTTCAGTCGACATATATGAGTTTTTCTCAGCGTCATTTAAAATGCTTCCAAAAAGTCATCACTTTAAATGGCTGCGTAATATTCCATTCAGGGGTATGCCATTGTTTATTTAATGTATCCACAATTAAATATTTAGGTTGTTTCCAGTTTTCATTGTCATAATTAATGTATGTTGAATATCTATGTACAGGGATTTTTGTCTCCATTTCTACCATTCTCCTCATTTTGCTGATGAGGGATCAGGGCCAGGGAGAAGTTAGGGTGCTTGTTCAAGATCGTACTACTCAAGAGAGGCAGAGGTGGGGCCAGTACAGTGGGTTATAGACTCTCACCTAATGTCCTTATTTCTGTTTTCATACTGGATCCTGGAAACAGCTTTATGAGGCTTGCAGAACAATTTTATTATTGTCATTTGACTTTTGAGGAAACCAAGTCTCAGGGGAAGCCACTTGCTCAAGGTTGCACAGCGTTAAGTGGCAGGGCTGGCTTTGACCCGGGCCTGTCTAACTCCACAGCAAGTGCTCGCCCTAACAGTGTCATGATTACATTTCTGTCTTGTCCTTCCCACTGGGGTAGAAAACAAACTGGGGCCTCCTTGAGGCCGGGGGGAGAGGTACTGTCTTTCTAGAGTGGGACTCAGGACTTTCAGCACAGGATTTCATGGAGCATTGGGTTGGAACGAGTGGGGCCAGGCCTTTGGTGTGTGCACTTTTGTCCACTGTTTGCTGGTTGGGAGCATGGCCTGCATCACTCCCACAGCCTGCCCACGTGGGATGGACTTCATGGGCCGGGGCTCAAGCTGCCAGCCTTGTCTTTCCTTGACTCGGCTTCTGCATCGAGCCCCAGAGTGGCTATGGATCTGCAAATTTCCTCTAGAACTAGAGCACTGAGCCCCCCAACTTGGGCCTGGCTCTCTCTGACGGCTCTGGGGGAGAATCCTTCCTGGCCTCTTCTGGCTTCTGGTGTTTGCTGACAGTCTTTGGTGTTCATTGGCTTGTACATCCATCACTCCCATCTCTGCCTCTGTCATCGAGTGGACATCTTCTCCCCACGTGTCTTCACATCTTCTGCCCTCTGTGCGTGTGTGTCTGGGTCCAATTTTCCCCTTTTAATAAGGGCACCAGTCGTATTGGATTAGGGCTCACTCTAATGACCTCATTTTTACTTGATTACCTCTGTTAAGACCCTGTCTCCAAATAAGATCTGAGGTAGTGTGTGTGGGGGGGGTTGAGACTTCATTATATCTTTTTAGGGGGACACAATTCAACCCATAACAGCTGGTTAAATAACAACAGCTGAGAAGAGCTGTGTGTTGTTGTGTGTTCACTGTGGGTCATGTGCCACGTTAAATGCTTTCTAGGCATTGTCTTGTTTAAGCCTCATGACAACCCCATGAGCTGGGGTATGACTGACTACCCCCATTCTACAGAGGAGGAAACTGAGGCTGAGTGCTTTAATGAACTACCCAAGGCCTCCCAGCTAGTATACAATCCAAACTCATGATCACAACTCCCCAGCCTGAATTCGTAACCCCCTTGATATTGTGTCTGGGCTTAGTGAAAAGGGGGTGAAGGTGACCCCCTACATACCGAGGCTTGACCTCTGTGTGGCTGATGGCAAAGCACATGCCCTCATCTGCAGGTTACTCCAGCCCAGCTGTGTCGGCCGTGTTTATGCTGCCCTTCGTCCAGGACGCCCTCTACCCTTCCAGGGCTGTTGTCAGTATGGCCTCCTCCGAGGAGCCTTCTCAGATTTCCCCAACCTGGAGTGTCCATCTCTGCCTTGAGCACCCACAGCACTCGGTTGAAGCTGCTTAGGAAAACGATCACTTTCTGCCTTGGACTGCAGTTACCTCCCTGGGTCGGAGTCTTTGTTCTTCCGCTCCCAGCCCCGTGCCTAGCTCAGTGTCTCAGTAACATCATCAGTAAAAATGGAAGGACTCTGGCCAGCAGAAGACAAAACCCTTGGTCCCAGGACCCTGGGCCCTCAGAGCAGCAAGAGATGCTTATCCTAAACAACTGGTTGATCAGCCAGAGGCTGCGGCCGGACCCTGGGCTTTGGGGCAGGAAGAGGGAGTCTTGCCTGGGCATGTGGTCAGGGCAGGCCTCCTGGAGGAGGTGGAGACTGGGCTGTGTAGAGTTCAGGCTGCGTGGGAGCCAGCTGCTCATCACACAAGTCCCTTTTAGGTCCTCTCTTTGCTTGGTGAGCTCCTACACATCACAACTCCACTCTGGTGTCACCTCCTCTGGGGTGCCTTCCTGAATTGCCAGTGATCGTGTCCCATAGGCCCTTGGCCCCCCCAGTATGTCCCAGACACTGCCTGGGGGGTGGCTCACTGCAGCCGGTGATGGGGAATCATTGAGTAGAGGATCATACTGATTTGGTTTGGGTTTAGCTGCAGTGTGGACCATTGATTCTGGGGGGCAGCTGAGGGGCCGTGGGCAGTCAGGAGCTGCTGTGGTCCAGGTGAGCGAGGCTGAGGATATGCGCCATGGTCAGTGGCAGTGGGAATGGAGAGGAGACAGATTTCCGAGACCTGTGGGAGGTAGAATTCTTGCTCGGGCTTTGATGGTAGGATGGATGTGGGGGGTGAGAGAGGAATCTAGTTGACCCTGAAATTCAGGGCCTCCCCGGTGCTTTCCTGCTGTCCTGTCTCTCCTTCTGTCTGCTGCTTCCTCGGAACCCAGCGCCAAGGCGCAGCCTCCTAAGCAGTTGGGGCCAGAACAGGTGTGCTCCTGGTGCTGTCTGCAGGCGTCGTCCTGCCCTGTTGTGCTCTGTGGTTAATGGAGGCCTTGTCTCCCGTAGGCTGCCCTGGCGGAGAGCTCCCGCCTCAAAGAGCAGCTGACGATGCTGCAGCTGAAGACAGACCTGCTGAGCAGCGTCTTTGGCCAGGAGAGAGCCGCCGCCCTCCTGGAGCAGGTGGCAAGCTCCGTGAGGGACAGAGACCTGCTGCACAACAGCCTCCTGCAGAGGAAAAGCAAACTGCAGGTGAGCATCCCGGGCTGTCTGCTCAGCCCTCGAGCCCGGCCACGGCGCTGGGGCCACCCTTCCCGGGAGGTGGGCGGCCCTGCACTCTAATCTCACTCCAGCACCTGCCACCATGTGGCTCTGGGCATATCCCTTCATCCCCCACAATCTCGGCTCCTCACCTGTAAACTGGGTAGGATTATGGCACCATCCTTCCACCTGGTCTCCTAGACACCTGTCTACTTTCAGCCCCTGCCCCCACATCCCCTGTCTACACTGCAATCAAACTGTACTGTCCTCCGCAGAGAGCCAGGGAGTGTCAGATAAGAAAATGCAGAGACAAACACTTGGAGACTTTAAACCACTGGAGAGCTGGAAGATATTATTACCAGGGACACATTTCTAAAGGACTACACTCAGTCAAAGACGTAACATGGCACGTTGTGGACAGTTTATGCTTTTATGCGACAAATATTTGCCGAGCATTTAATGATGATAATGGCTGTGATCTATGGGGCACCGACAAGGGGCCAGGCACTTGCTAAGAGCTTCACATCCACGATCTCATCTAATCCAAGTAGCAAACACTTAGCAAACATTTTAGGGTTTGCAGGGCAGACGGTCTCTGCTCAGCTACTCAATTCTGCCGCTGCGGCATGAGAGCAGCCGGAAATGCATGCGCGTGGCTGTGTCCAATAAAACTTTATTTACAAAAAACAGGCCTCTGGTGGGATTTGGGGTGTGTGGTAGGAGATGTAGTCTGCCAGCCCCTGTTCTAGAGGGCAGGACAACTGTTATGTGGGGACATTATGGTGACTCTAAGGAGCAGTGTCCAACCCTATCAAGGGCTCCAGGAAGGCTTCCTGGAGGGGGAATGCCTGAGTGAGTATGAGGGGGCCAGGAGAAGGCTGCAGAAAGGGCAGCTGGGTTGTGAGTGTGAGGTTATACAACAGGGCGCCTGTGAGGAAATTTCTTAATGTGTGTGCTGCCCGTTCTGTGTCTCTTCAGAGCTTGCTCGCTCAGTACAAAGATTTTGGGGCTGCTTTCGAGCCCCTGCAGAGGAAGCTCTCGGACCTCCAAGTCAGAGTCCAAGCCGAGAATGGGCTTCAGCGGGACCTTCCTGGGAAACAGGCCCAGCTTTTGAGGTTGCAGGTAAGGGGTCTGTGGGGCCAGAGTTGTCTCTGCTCAGGGGCTCAGCTGCGCCTAGAAGCCACTGTCCTCCTGTGGCATGACCGGCAGAGCAGCAGCCGGCCAGAGCCAGGATTTACACCCTTACTTGAGATCTGACCTTTTGTCTTAATAGAATCTCTGCTGATTCTTATGATGGTTCCTGGCCTCAGCAGGGCCTTTAGCCCTTCCAAATTACTGACTCTTGAGCCTAACAAAATGAGAAGCTATCCTTTTGTTTACTTCAAGGTTACAAAGTCTTGCGTCGATATTTGTTTTTAAAATTGCTTTACCAAGTGTTCCTAATGAGACTAGAGGCCCTAGAGGTTAAATACACCAATGTGAGGATTAAAACTAAATGTTTTAAAACACCTGTAGACTGGGCCGGCCCTGTGGCTTAGCGGTTAAGTGCACGCGCTCCGCTGCTGGCGGCCCGGGTTCGGATCCCGGGCGCGCACTGACGCACCGCTTGTCCGGCCATGCTGAGGCCGTCCCACATACAGCAACTAGAAGGATATGCAGCTATGACATACAACTATCTACTGGGGCTTTGGGGGAAAATAAATAAATAAATAAAATTATAAAAAAATAAATAAATAGATAAAACACCTGTAGACTGTGAATAGGCTGATCATTGATCATTGTTGGCTGGATCAGGAGCTTGCTGGTTTTTAAAATGCATGTGATACAACACTTATCTTTCTAAAACCCAAACACAGCTCGTAGATAAATTGAGAGTGTTGTTTGGAAAATATTAAAAACGGTGTATTTGGGTCTTTAAAGTTGGGATGTGAGTCTTCATAACGAGGGGCGCTCATCATGTAAGAGTCCAGACAAAAGTTTGTTCCCAGAGGTGCCTTCTGGTCTTGAGCAGTTTATTTTCATGGTGTCTCAGAATATTTGCATCTCATTTTTAAAATTCTCACCTGCCCTGAGAGTGGGCCCATCAGAAGGCCATATGGTGCAGCTGCTGGGGAGGAGGAGCCCCACCACCCCGGGACCCTCCCATCCCTCCCACTCAGAGCCCCCCCGCCAAGAGTAGATACCCCCTCATTCCTTCCTCCACTGCAGGGGCTGCAGGAGGAGGGGCTGGACCTGGGGATGCAGGTGGAGGCCGTGAGGCCTCTCGTCCAGGGGAACCCCAACCACCAGCACAAAATGGACCAGCTCTCCGCCGAGTACCAGGCCCTGCAGAGGTCTCTGGAGGTAAGGGGCCGACGGAGGGCCTGTGCTGTGCCAGAGATCCCTGGAATCCGACACTCCTGGGGACTTTCTCCCTCTTCTCTCCCTTCATTGCTTCTTTTTCTTTCTCCTTTCCTTTCTTCCCTTCCTCATTCATTCAGCAGATACTGAGTGCCTTCTGTCTGCCTGTCAGTGTTTTGCCTAAGATTGGAGGCAGCATGAGGGGGACAGCCAAGGCCCCTGCTCTCCCTGGGGTTCCTTCTAGTGGGGAGATGGACAGAGTCAGCAAGCCAACAAGTAAATAGACAATTCCACGTGTGCCAGGAGTCAAAGGACAGATCAGGGGCCTCTTCTCCTAACAAGAGCCAGGCAGGCAGTGGGCTGGTCATCTTTGCTGCCTGAAGACCAGGCTGAAAGTTGTGTCCTGGTGGCCGAGAGCCTCATCTGCAGTGCCCTCTGGTGGCCACCTGTGTCCGCACAGGATGGATTCCTCTGCCAGCAGTGGGAATGAGCTGAGGCTCCTTCCAAAGCAGCCCAAGGACAAGTTGAAATGCAGGCTCCGGGCCCCACCCTGACGCGGATTCTGATGGAGTCCTGGGTCTGCTTGTCACAGTTCCCCCGGGAATGCCAAGCCGGCTCTCAGGCAGCCACGCCTCAAGCAAACTCAGTGTAAGGCAATGTTCTCCACCCTACTGGGCCCTGCGTGCCCTATTTTAATAACAAGTACTCTTAACATCCTCTTTGCAATCCTGAAATTCATAGATCGTATAAGTCACTCATACCATCTAAAAATTTAATATAATGCCGTTTCTGTAATAGAAAGGAGAAATAAAAAGAAAGTAATTATCATAATGTCTTTCGATATGTAAATGTTCCCCGATGGCCACACCAAAGACATGAGGAGGTGGTCAGAACACACCCTCTCTACGTGACACCCACAAATGCCGAGTCACGTGGCACAGCTGCGCCTCTGGTGATGAGATTTACTGAAATGTGCACAGCCCTTGGTAATGTTTCAGTCAAACCAAAGCGCAGTCTGCCATCAGTTTACAAAATAGATGCATTCCTGGACAAGACAGCATGTTTATTAAAACTCCAGAAACCTCTGGTGTTTGTATGTTAACTGGAGTAAGATGCAAAGCTTGAGTCCCAATATACAGGTCATGAGAAAACCTGTGGGATGTGGCGCAGTTCTATGTTGTGGACTGTCTGTGGCAGAGTGGGATGGCAGCACCCATCACTGTCACTGCATCTGCTGTATCACCCCCTCCCACCCCATCATTATCACAGCCACCAAAACCCCCGGGGGGTTTCCAGGAAACCTGGCTCCACTTGCGGAGACCCATTGGTCTGAGTGAGGCGTAAGGTCTAGATGAATTCATTTAATTCCATTTAATGAATTAGCAGCTCGTGGTCTCAAGGTGGAGGCAGGGGGCATAGAGACATAGGAATCCTGTCCCTGCTTCTGAGGAGCCCGCAGAGCCCATAGAAGCAGCAACTGTCAGCTTTAATGCCCACATCAAATCATGAGCCAGACTGATCGTGATAATAGTTAGAAGAGTTAACCGAGCATCATTAGGGGCTGCAAAATAGTGATATTCCAATTCTGTCACACTTCTTTATTTATGGTTTAGATACCTCTTTAAAGAAGTATTGCCATTCTTTTATTATTTTGTACTCAGGGCTTTTTCAGTCTCGTAAGTTCTAATAAGTCCACCCCCCAGCCCAGGCAATCTTCCTGTTCCCCTGGGAGCATGTACGACACCAAGCAACAGGGGCCATCGAAAGCATTGGGTCTGATGTTGGTGCACCGGGGACAGGAGGGGACAGTGGTAGTGACAGCGCAGAGAAGAGGATTTTAGAGAATTTTCCAGGCCCTGGTCAATGGTTTGTGGAGGACAGATGCACTGCACTCTCTCTGTGTCCCCAGCTCCTCGGGGGCCTGGCATCCCGTGGTGTCAGCCAGTGTCTGTGCAGTGCAGGAAGGCAGGGACCCCACAAGGACCTCAGCTGAGGATCACAGCACGAGAGGGGACGACAGACACTGGGGTCTGCCTGGCCCGTGGTGGGCTGAGGGGGAGGGCCTCCAAGGGTCCCAGGCTGGGTGACCATGAGGATGGAGAATGGCTGCTCTGCTGGATACAGAGCCCACCTTTCATGGAGACAGAGAACAAGGCCCTGATTGACCCAGGGGAGGGGACAAAAAGCAAGACTATTTTTAAAAACTTTTTATCAAACTATAATCATACATAAAAGTGGACATCTAAAAGAGCAGCTTGATAAATTTTTAATAACTGACTGCATCCGTGTTACCAGCACCCAGATCATGAAACAGAACAATACCAGCCCCTCATGTGCCCTACAGCCACTGCCCACCACCTCGAGACCTGACAGTAACCTGACCTTCAACTTGGAACAGCATAGGTTGGGGTTGCCTGATTTTATACATTATTTAAATTGAATCGGACAGAGTGTTTCTTTTGTGTCTGCCTTCTAGCTCTCCATGTGATGGTTGTAAATTCATCTAATGGTGCATTAGACTGTTGTGTGGATTGCTCCTTCTTGCTGCTGTAAAATATTCCATTATGTGAATATACCTCAACGTGTTTATCCATTCTCCTGTCGGTGGTCTCTGGGCTGGTTTCCAGCTTGGGGCTATTACAAGCAACACCACACACACGCCTTTTGTGAAGATATGTTCGTATCCATCGAGTATCCACCCAGGGGTGAAATGGTTGGGTCGTAGGATGCCAAGTCCAGTTTTGGTAGATACCAACGTATGGTTTTCCCAAGTGGTTGTGTTAATTTATACCCACGCTGGTGGTGGACCAGAGCTCGGACTGCCCACACCCTCCTCCAGACTTGGAACTTTCCATAAAAGTAAACCAGAGCTGATCTTCCTGGGGTAAATTCCTTGCACTGTGGAGCAGGGAAGACCAGCCTGTCGTGTTCCTGTGGGGTTGGGAGCCCTGGGGCCATTTTGCCCCAGGGCCTGGACAGATCTGGGGGTCCTGCGGGGTGGGGCAGCCCAGGGTCTCAGCCTCGGCCAGCACTCAGGGTGCCCTGGCCCCCCGGGGCTGTGCTGCAGGACCTCGTGGACAGGTGCCGGCAGAGCGTGCAGGAACATTGCACCTTCAGCCACGAGCTGCTGGAGCTGCGACAGTGGATCGCTGTGGTCACTCAGAAGCTGGAGTCACACCGGGGGGACACAGGCCCGTGGGATGCCCAGTCCCGAGAGGTCGAAGTGGAGGTAAGTGGGCTTTCCCACAGAGATGCTGATTTCCTCCCCTCCATCCTGAAAAGCAGGCTTGAGAGGCCAGAGCGCCACATTAGGGAGCAAAGACCCCCTCCCCAGGACCTCACTGTGCGTGTATGTGTGTGTCCTGCAGAGGCTGCTGGCTGAATTCCCAGAGAAGGAGGCCCAGCTGCCCCTGATCAAAGCGCACGGCTGGCTGGTGATGGAGAAGTCTTCTCTGGAGGGGGCTGCTGTGGTCCAGGAGGAGCTGGAGGAGCTGGAGGTGTCGTGGCAGGCCCTGAGGCTGCTGGAGGAGAGCCTGCTGAGGTGAGAGGGTCTCCTGGCCCTGAGCCTGTCTGGGACAACACGCCCTTCCCATCCAGGGGAGGGCTCAGTGGTGCTCCTAGAACAGATGGCTGGGGTTCTGCTGTGCGCCAGGCGCCTCTGGGCATCTCCAGTCTAGCCCAATTGGTAATTCTAGCAGGGGCAGGAGGAGCAGGCAGATGGCCCAGCTTGGGAGTTAGCCTCCGGCCCATTCTGACTCGGGCCTCAGCTGTGTCAATGGGTACATGCACCTTAATGATGGTAATGTGAGTCTCAGGTAGGAAACTGGAAACGCACGTGCCTTGGGAACATTCTGACAAACCTGAAGGACAGACACCGCCTCGTGAAGACCAGAATCTTCCTCCCGCTCCACGATGCTCAATTCTATTACTTCTCCCACGACCTGGTGAGTCCCCATCGCATGACCGCATTGACTGGGCAAATTTTGTCTTCTCAGCCTCATCAGAAACCAGCAGCTGCAGAGGACAGAAGTGGATTCAGGGAAGAAAACGATTTTCACCAACAACATCCCGAAGACTGGATTTCTCATCACGCCCACGGATCCTGTTCCCAGGCATCGCCGTCAGGTGAGTCTGTCTAGAGGGGTTCTGAGGAGAGGCCAGGTCCCTAGTCAAGTGATGGGGGAGGGGGTCTCCAGCAAAGCCCCCTCTGCGCCTGGGGCCATGTGCGCAGCTCCTGACAGCCACATCCCCCGTCTCGGCTGAGCCTGCCCCTGCTGTGGCCCAAGGAACACTCATGCCACTGGACAGAGGGACTCAGAGACCCCAGACCCAGGCCCCTGGGGAAGGTCACTGTCCTCCCTTGGGCAGACAGGCCCTCACCCTCAGAAACCCCGGCAGCCACCCCTGCGGCGCGGGGAGTCTCGGGGTTGGAGGCTTCCTGCTGGCCCCAGATGGAAACTGAAATCACACAAGACGGGTATTTTTTTGTGTGCCATAATTTGTGTTGTATTTTGTAAAAAGAACTAATCTAACTACGTGGTATCATCCATCCCTTCCCCTCACTGCCTTTAAAGAAAGGAACAACACTGAAAAAAATTCATTCCTTGTTCTTCAAAGACAACACATCAATTCATTCATTCTCCCATTCCTTCTTTTATTTCTCCCTCCAAAAAGCACTTAGTGAGTGTTACTACGTTCTGAGGACTGTGCTCGGAACTGGGACACAGCTGTGAGTAAGACAGACACACCTCCAACCCTCAGAGAACATAGAATCCAGCACAGAGCTTTTCAGATTATAATGTGCCTTCACATCATATTAAAATGCAGATTCCCATTCAGTAGGTCTGGGGTGGGGCCCATGATTCTGCATTTCTACAAGCTCCTAGGTGATGCCTATGCCTCGGAGTACATTTTGAGGAGCAAAGAAGTGGGAACCACAGGCCATTAAATAAAGGTTTACAAAAAGCAGAGGGGCCGGATGCTATGGGAGCCTGCTGCAGAGTGATTGACACCCAGTTCTGGGGTAGCAGAGCCCTCCCAGGTGAAATGAAACGTCAGGGGAATCCTCACGGCTGAGTAGGGGTGAGGAGAGGAGCCGAGGGAGATGCGTTCCACGCAGAGGAGACAACGTGGGCAGAGACCCAGAGGGAGAGAGCACAAGTGCCAGGGACCAAGACGTGTCTCTGGGCTCGGGCTCAGAGAACGGGGAAGGCAGCACACACTGCAGAGTCAGCAGAGCCAGCACCTGAGGCTCTCAGGGCGCAGCAAGGAGAGTGAGAAGCCACCAAGGTGTGTAAGCGGGGGCTCAGATGAATGGACTTGCATTTTAGACAGATCATTCTGGCCACAGAGCCTGGAGGGGGACAAGAGTGGCAGAAAGGTGACCACTGTTATAGCCATCCTGGTAAGGGATGATGGTGGCTGCCACCAGGAGACCAGGGAGGTGGCATTGAGGAATGTCTTTGGCCCCTAAACACGGCCACATTGAGTAGAGCCACACAGTTCGTCCCCCGAGGCCTGTCTCATCACCTTTTGGGCATCCTCATCCCCGCCCTCTGCCTCAGATGGAATCCCCAGGACGTGTGGCCAGGGGGTTGTTTTCCCCTCTGATGCTTGGGCCATGCTGTGCACTCCTGCAGGCAGATCTGCTCCAGGAAGAAGGCAGCCGTGAAGATTTCTCCCTACTCCTGAGGAACTTTGAGCAGTGGTTGCAGCTGGAAAATTCCAAGCTGGTTAGAATCATCGCCATGAGAACTGCCACAGCCAAAGACTTGAGGACCAGAGAAACAAGGCTGCAGGTGTGTTCCCTTGCCCGGAGGGTTTGCGCTATAGAGGTGTTTTTCACCAGTGAGTTTTTCAAAAAAAAAAGTGTACATACATAGTTCATAAGCTATTCTTGCTTGTGTATAAATCATGGTTTTTAAAATTTTTTGGTTCAGATATTTTAGAACTTTAGAAGAGCCATTCATTCATTCATGAATTCAGCCTACTTCTGTATTCGCCAACTTGGAAAATATCACCACTGATCAGGACTCCTCTAATCAGTTAGCTGTTGCTGGGTAACAAACCATCTTAACAATTTGTGGCTTCAAAGAGCAACTGTTTATTTAACTCATGATTCTCAAGGTTGGCAGTTTAGGCTGAGCTCAGCTGGGCAGTGTTTCAGGTCTTGGCTGGGCTCCCTTATTTGCCCTCAGTGGTAGGTCACCTGGGTGGCTCTACTTCTGGGGGTTGGTGGGCTGTTGGAGATGAGCTGAGATGGACCACACATCTCTTACCCTCCTGTGGGACAGCCCGGCCTTCTCGTAGCAGAGGCAGGGTCTAAGAGAGCAAGTGGGAGCATGCAAGGCCTTTTGATGCCTAGAGTAGGAGCTGGCACAGCGTTACTTCCCCTGTGTTCTGTTGGACAAAGAAAGTCACAAGGCCAGCCCAGATTCAAGAGGAGGGAAAACAGACTCCACCTCTTGATGGGAAGAACTGCAAAGTCATATTACAAAGGACATGGACCATGGTAGGGAAGGGGGACAGGGGAGTCATGGCCATTTTTGCAATCCATCTACCACAAATCTTTCTCCTTCTCTCCCACATCTAATTAGCCTGAAGCCCTCCTTGATTCCACCTTCTGTAAATTTTTTGTTTCTGTCCCCTCTCACTACCACTGTCTTAGTCTAGGCCTTTACCACTGTTGACCTTGGTTATGGCAATAGCCTCCCAGCTGGCCTCCCTTCTTCCTGTTGGGCCCCCATCCAGGTCATGGCTCGTTCTGCAGCCAGAGTGACCCTTCAGAATTGCAAGTCTGACCTTGTCCTTCCCCTGATGAAAACCTTTCAGTCTAGTGTTCAACCCCCCGAGTTTATCGCACAAGGCCTTTCTCAACCAGGCTGCAGCCTACCTCTCTTTTTCCTTATTCTTCTGCATTTTCATTATGATATGTTGGAGTTTGAATTTCTTTTTATTTTTCTTCTTGGGATTCATCTGGATTCTTGAATCTGTGGTCTAGGGTCTTTCTGGAAAATTCTCCATTATTTCTCAAAACATCACCTCTGCCTTGTTCCCTTTCTCTTCGTCTTCTGTGATGTCATTTAAACGTATGTTATTCCTTCTCACTGTGTGCTTTATATCTCTTACCCTCTCATGTATTTTTCATCCTTTTGTCTTTTCATATTGTTTTCTGGATAGTTTTTTCTAACCCACCTTCCCCTTTACTAATTCTCTCTTTAGCTGTGCCTCACTTGCTATTATGCATATCTAATAAGTTCTTAATTTATTATATGGTATTTATCAGTTCTAGAATTTTTACCTGTTTCTTTTAAAGATTTGCTGTGTCACTTTTCATAGCTTCTAGATCTGTACTGAAATTTTTAAGCTTGTCTTTTAATTCTTCAAACACAGTGCATATAGCTGTTTTACAGAGTGTGTCTGATAATTCCAATATCTCAAGTTATTTTAGGAATGTTTCTGCCTGTTCTTGGTCTTGGTGTCTTGTATGTGTATGGCTGCTTTAATTATGTGCTGGACATAGTGTTTGACAAAATAGGGGTAAGAGTTATTTGATATTTAGGATCATCTCTTCTCCAGAGGGGATTTTGTTTGCGACTGCCAGGCAAGTGGGGGCTTTATCATTTGGGAACCACCAAATCCACGTTCAAAGCTTGAGGCTCCCTGGACCCCTGAGATGACTTGGAGCTGGGCTGCAAATCCACATGGGCCCTAGTTTACTTCTGAATCACCCTTTGGAGGCTCAGCTAAGCGGGGAGTGGTTTATCAGAGTCTCCACCTCCGCAGGGCTCAGACTTCTACCTTTGTGTCCCTGTCCCTGAGAGGCTGCCAGAAGCATAGATGTGTTTCACAACTGTTCCTTCCAGATTGGCAAATGTCCTAAGGGCACGAGTAGACCCTAACACTGGGCTCACTTCTCAGGGTTCTCAGCCTGTCCCGGGCTTTACCCTGATGTGCCTCACTCTCTTGTGAACTCCTGGATGCCATTGAGATCTTTTTAATATTCTGTCCTCAGTGAGACGTTTCGTCCACTGGCCTAGTTGCCCATGGCCGGGAAGTCCTCCTGCCTCCCTCCTACCTCATCTTACGCCACTCCTCTCGTGTCCTGCCGCCACCACCCAACTCCCGCCATTTCAGAGACGACTTGTACTTCCCCAGGTTAAGCCTCCTTGCTCCTGTAGAGCTCACCTTCTTGTGGGCTCTGAGAAGCTAAGCACCTTGCCCCATATCACACAGCTGGTAGGAGGGGGCAGAGCCAAGATCCAAAGCCAGATTTTAAACCCAGGCTCTTAGATTTAGAGCCCTGCTCATGCCTCCACATCACACTGCCTCTCAGGAGTCCTGAGGATAAAAGGTGCCATCCTGCAGTGACACAATACTGTATTTTGATAGAAAAGTCTGCCCAATCTCAACATCAATCTGCCAGGTGTAAAAATGCCAACAGAAAGACATGTTCAACAATGGTAGCTTTTATAATGATGATAACTCTTGTGTCAACCCCTCTGGGGGACTTGGATCTAGAATGTCAGAGTTGGAAGTGACCATGGGGGTCAGCAATGCAGCTGCCCCTTTCATGCAGGAGTCCATTCTGTAACATTCCAGAGAGCAGTTGCCTGGCCTTGGCTTGAATTTGCCCGGATGGGATTCTCATTTGATGTGTTCTGTCAGCCACATCTCAAGTGAAATTTGATTGGCTCCTCCTTACTAGTCAGGTGGAGCCGTCTGGGCCATTGGAAGGTGTGTGACGTTGCCTTTTCCCCTCAGGAGCTGGAGGCCCGGGTCCCAGAAGGTCAGCATCTCTTTGAGAACCTCCTTCATCTCAGGCCAGCAAGGGAGACCTCAGATGAGCTGGAGGATCTGCGCTACCGGTGGATGCTGTACAAGTCCAAACTCAAGGACTCCAGCCACCTGCTGGTAGGTGCTGAGGATGCGCCGGTGCCAGGCCCCGGGGAGACAGAGATCAGCCTGCATCCACTCTGCCCTGAGCCTCCACAGACCAGGCTGAGACGACCACTCAGAAAGGAGAGGGAGACTTATGGGTCCTAGGTGCCTGGCTTGCAGGATGTCATTTGGCCATCCTGCCACCTGGTGAGGCTGGGGCTCCAATAACGACAGCTTTGCTGCCTGCCAAGCTGGACCCTTTATGTGCATTTCTCCCTCCGTCCTGCAGCAGCCATCTGCCAGAGTAATTGTGTCTCCAGTCTCCAGAGGGGGAGTGGACGCTCCGAGGAGTTAAAACTCGCCCAAGTTCTCACAACTAGTAAGGGGCAGAGCCAGCATTAAACACACCCTGGTGTTGGAGGCATGATGAAGGGAATGCTGGGTTGGGGACCAGGAGCTCTGGACTCTAATCCCACTCCTCCGCTAACCTGCTTTGTGACTCCTTCCCCCTTTGGGCCCCCATGTCTCCTCACACAAAACAATAATAATAGCTAAACTAATAATAATAGCCTTTATGAAATGCTGTGTCCTCCTAACGACCCTATAAAGGAGGTACAGTTATTATTCTCTGAGAACCGATCAGAAAACTGAGGTATAGAGGTTAGCGCAAGAAGGGGGGTGTTGAGATGGCCCCTATGGCCCTTCCAGCCTCTAGCCCCCAGACGCCAAGCTTTGACTCTCCAGTTTTGCTGGCCCCAAAACCGCTGTATCGGCCACTAGGTGTCAGCCCAGCCCCAGCCAGGTGGCCGTGCCCCCAGCAGGCCGGGGCCCAGGCCTTCCCAGACAGAATCCCACCTGGGCCTAAAGTGTGTTAAAAAGCTCATTAAATCGAATCACCTGCTGGTGCAGCCTGTCCAGATGACCAGAAGTTTTAGAGAAACACTCCCCTGACAAAATGAATATTCCATTACAGGCTCTGTTGGGATTTAAGTTTCACTCACTTAACTTCTTTTTTTTTCCCTTTTCCTCTCCTTCCCTAAAATAACAGACACAGAGTTCTCCAGGGGAGATGACTGGATTCCAAAAGGTACCGTGTCTGCCATCTGCTCCCCATGGCGAGAGGGCAGGGCGTCTGGAGGGTTGGTGGGCCTGTGATGCTGGGGCCAGACGCCTGGGCTTTCTGGAAGGTTCCATGAGGTCTGAGGAACATTTATGGGGAATCAGCTCTGGGCTGCGCTGTGCTGGGTCCGGGGTCCACGTTCTCAGGAAGCCTCAGTGGTGTGCAGAGTGTACTCAGCTGTGACAGGTGCGTGATAGACAGGGGACCCCGGAATTTTTCTTCCAAAACCAGGACACAGTAGGGAGTGAACAGGACAGTAGTAATAATTATACTGTGATGACCTAGACCGTTCCAGGCAAACTGGGCCACGTGGACACTCGAGTGATAGACAGGCATACGGGCTCAGTGGGGGACAAGAGAGAAAGGGACGGTTGTGCCTTCATGTTCTACCAGGCAGGTGTTTCCACTTATGCCCACTGAGATGTGCTTAGAGCCACTTCCTTGGTGCTTGCAGGGCAAAGCAGTAACAATAACAGCCACAATAATAGTAATAATGAGTAAAAATTATTATTACTCTAGATGCTATGTGTTGACTGTCGGCTGTGTGCCAGGAACTGACACGGTGATGATTAGGGCATTTCACTTAGCTGTCCCGTTGACACCCACGAGGCATTATTCCCTCCAGTTTAAGCCTGAGGTAACTGAGAAATGGCGAGATTGGCCATTCTTTTCAGTGAAGACATGTGGCTCCTGAGTGTCTCTGGCCTCTGACTGCAAAGCCCACGTCTTAACCTTCCACGCTGTGCCTTGGAGAAAGCATCCCTGGGGCCTGGTGAGTCTCCTCGCTTCTGGAGAAGCCCAGTGTAAATGGATGTCCCCAGTGCCACCTGTTCAAGAGAACACACCTGTTTTCCTGCCAAATGTTGGCTCATAACGAGTGAACCCTCGTGCCGTGGAATCTGTTTCCAGGTGCTTGGCACAGCAGGATTTCTCCTTGGTCTCCAGCTGGTGTTCATGTCTCCCATCCTCAGGAGAGTGGTGTCCCCTGGACTGGGCAGGGCAGTCACAAGAGCACCGCTGTGCTCTGGGCCCAGCCTCAGCCAGCGTTGTGGCCTTGGGCAAGTTGCTTTGCCTCTTGGGAGTTACTTTCCCCATCTGTAAAATGGAACATCAATGCCGACTTTATTTACTTCATGAACCAATTGTGAAGATCGTGTGGACTGTTGTTTGTAGTAGTTCTTCAGAGAGCCTAGAGCTCTGGTTTCCCCTCTGATGGAGAATAACAGAGAGCCTCCTCGTGAAATAAGGAAGAGCATCAGGGAGGGCAGGGTGGCCCACCCAGTCCATCCTGGTGACTCCTGGTGGGACGTGGGGGCGGGGGCCAGGTGTCCAGGCTGCCTCTAGCTCCCGCACTTGAAGCCCCTCACTGGTTGGGAGCCCCCGTCTATGCAGCTGCCAGGCCGGAGTCCATGGGCTGTCATGTCTGCGTCCCCTGGTGCCTAGCACCTGGTGAGCACTCACTAAATGTTTTTGAGTAGGGGGGGCACTTGGCTGGCTGACACCAACCCCCCAGCGCAGGCTCAGGTTCCGGGCAGCCTGTAATCGGGTTAATGTGGGTGTTCACAGCCCTGTGTCTATATGCTGTCTCTTCGTCCATTTATTCATTTCACAAATAATTCCTGAGCGCTGACTTTGTGCCAAGCACTGTTTCAGGCCCTTGGGATAGATCAGTGAACACAAGAGCAAAGACCTGCCCTGGTAGACTGCATCCTGGCTGGGTGGAGAGAATGATGGGAGAGTCTAGCCGGTGGCACTCAGTGACAGTGGTGGGTCTCTGGTCAGGGAGCTCTGAAGGGCGGCAGTGGCGTGGGGTCTTGACAGCCTCAGGGTTTATCTTGTCTGTGGCTGGCAGATGTTGGGCACGGTTTTGTGGGGTATGCGAAGCAGGCAGGCTCTAAATGGCCAAAAAGTCTGCTTATTCAGGCTATGTTGAAAACAATTGGATGTGTGAACGTTTGAGTTTGGTGCTGGCTGGCTTTTGAGCTCATGGGTCTCAGTCCATTGTGAAGAAGTCAACAACCTGGAGACAAATACACAGAGGCCATCTCAGGCTCATTTATATGACAACTTGTTTAAGCACAGATTTCTGTGCCCTACCCCGAGAGTTTCTGATTCATTAGGTCCGGGTGGCCCAAGAATCTGCATTTCTGGCAAGTTCTCTGGTGATGCAGATGCTGCTGGCCTGGGGACCACACTTTGAGAACCACTGTGTTACCGTCTGGATTCTAATCAGGGCTCTGCCATCAGGGTGCGTGACCATTGGCAGGTCACTTAAGCGCACTTTTCCAATGAATAGAATGAGGGTCCACCGTGCTAATGGTGGGCAAAGTTCTTGTAACATCCAGCACACAGTGGGTTCTCAATTGCCACGTAAATGAAGACCCTGGAGACTTCTGCAGACGCTGTCCCTGCTTCTCTTCCTGAGAACAAAGGGAGCAGTAACACTTCTGGGGAGGGGACTCCTCCCTCCGGTCTGGTTCTGGTGGTTTTTTTGCTGGTTGAGGTGTGTATGTGAGCGTGTAGGGGTCTGCACACACCTGCACGTATGCACACACACATGCGGGCCTGACAGGTAGAAAATAGATGCTGTCTTCAGAGGCTGTAATCTTGCCAGCTTAAAAACATTCCATATATTATTTTTAGTCCAAGGGAAGAAAAAAAAACCTGCCCTAAAGCTAATTATTTATGAGCAGTTGGTTCTCTAGACTTTTTTTCTCTCCGTGCACCAAGTCATTGCATGCTCCAACTACGTCAATGGCTTCAGCCTGCTTGTTTGTATAAACAGAATAATTAAGATTTATTAAATTTGCAGCTGCCTACACACTTGCCAGCTCAGTGCCACCGGATATGTTTGCCTGCGGCATCCAGACACATGAAAAGTAATTGCTTTTCAAGTTGCACTGGGCCGTGAGTCAACTAAATTCCTGGGCTGGCCCCGGAAAGCGGGGTGGGAAAGCGGTGTGGTCCCACCTGAGACCAACTTTGAGTTGGAGAACAGATTTGCAAATGCTTCTGTTTGCCTGGGTAAACGAGGGCAGGGCCAGAGTGCCAGTTTGCAGGAGTGAAGAATAAACCCCTCCCATGCAATACATGCTGTGGCCTCCGGAGTGTAGATCCTGAGGTTGAGCGACCCGGGAGTGGCATCTTATTTACTGGGACCATATTTCATAGGTTTCACGACTCATAATTTTTGATCCTTTCACGTCTCTGGAATTTCAGTGTCTTATTACAATCTAGTTCTTCCGGCGAGGGTTTGGGTTTGCTTCCTTCCACCACCCAGGGCACTATCCACCCGAGATTTCTCTAAATTAAAATGCTCTGCTCGCGGGTTGTGTTGTATTTTGTTTTCCTTTGGACCACACTGACAGTGTAAATTCAGGCGACCAACCTCCAGGAGCTCGAGCCTGTGGTTCAGATCCTCGGGGAAGAGTTGTTTCCCACCCTTCACCCAGTGCCAAGATAAGACCTTGGATTTCCCTGCTTCCCTTTTCTGGGAGGCAGGATTTTTCCTCGTTTCCATTGAAGGTGCAGCCCTGTGGTGCCCCAGCTTTATGTGGAGTCTCCTATCAGACGCTCCATCTTGGTTTTTTTCTTTCTTAGTGGTATGTAAAATAACGGTGCACCTTACAATCAGTGTCTTAGATCAGACGAAATACTGTAATACCAAATCTCAGAAAGCATTAGCGAGTTTTCCATGTTAGATAATAACTTTCTCTCATAACTATGAGTTTAAAAAAAAATCCCTACTGTGTGTTAGGCACTGGGCTAGTTCTGCTGTGTGGAACACTATGCTGGTCTTTGATGCTCACAATCACCTTCTTTTTAGCGGGAGGAGAGTGGCCTCTTGGCCCCTTCTCCATTAGTGGCAATCGGCCTGATCAGGGTGGGGGGCAGAGGGAACGTAGCTTAACTTTATCTTCCTGTGATTCATTGGGCAACTTTGGGGGCCAGTCAAATCTGGTTCTTCCTTGGTCAAGGGCCTGGGCTTTGCTAGGGCCATCCTGTCTCTGACCTTCGAAAGGAGAGAGCTGGGGACAGGCCTCAAACCACGTGCTACGTCACCCCTGAGGCCCTGTCTGTCCATCCATCTTCAGAGCCCAGAAGTGACTGGCCATCACAGATTTATGAAAGAGTCAGTGCTAACACTTGGGACGTCAAGTTTTTGAAAGTTGTCTTTGACTATTGAAATCCAGAGACGTGTAATCTACATCTGTTCTTTCTGTTTCTTCATCCTTCTATTTCTCAGCCCACCTGCCTTCCGCCCCCCCAATTTCTCTAAAATTCATCGCAGTGAGGTAACCAGTAGCTCCCTCTTCACTAAGCCCAGTAAACATATTTCTGTCCTCATCTGCTTCACCTGTGGGCGGCCTTGGGGCTGATGACCGGGTTCCCTGCCCACAACTACTCTGGCTGCCCTTCTCAGACTCTATCGTGGAGGCCTCTCTCTTTGTTTTGTTTTTTCCAGTCATCAGAATTGGTGTGGATAAAAGTCAGTGTTGATGAAATACTGTTATTTAATCCATAGTCCATATTCAAAAATTTAAAGCTATCTCAATAGTCTTTAAAAAGAATTAATAGACTATTTTTTTGGAGCAGTTTTAGGTTTACAGAAAAAATTAAGCAGAACATACGGAGTTCCCATATAACTCTCTCCCCTCTCCACACTCTCCCAGTTTCCTCTATTATTAACATCTTGCATTAGCATGGTATATTGGTTATAACTGCTGAAGTGATATTGATACATCATTATTAACTAAAGTCTATAGTTTAGGGTTCACTCCTGGTGTTGTACATTCTATGGGTTTTGACAAATGTATAATGACATGTGTCCACCATTACAGTATCTTATAGAACAGTTTCACTGCCCTAAAATCCCCTGTGCTCCACCTGTTCATCCCTCCCTCTCCCCCCAACCCCTGGCAACCACTGACTTTTGACTGTCTTTATAGCTTTGCCTTTTCCAGAAT